AGTGTCACTGCTGCCTGACGCAAGCAAAATCAACCCTATTAGTAAGGGAAAAATTTTAATTCGAGCTGAGGTAGTATGGACTCTTAAGAGTCGTTACTACTGGAATCAGTGGGGACTTTAAAGTCCCCATTGTTTCCACACAACACAACCAGACAGTGCTTTCATGCCGCAACGTAAAACGTTGTCTGTAGATGCATTTACTGGATATGCAGTAAATGCATCTACAGACATTTTTTTAGGTTGTCGTGTCACTTAAAGCATTATTGAATTTATCGTCTCCATGAGTTATTCATAAACATAGAATATAATTATTTTGCGTAATGCGAAAGAAAAAAGGTACTGTGTATTTGTATGTTTCACAAAAGCCGATTAAAGCCAAATATAGAGGAAATGAAAAAAAAAAAGAAAAAAAAAATTATCATACGAACCACTTTTTTACTTTGAGTCTTGCCTCCTACGGGGCAAATAAATTCAATAATTTCTTATAAAAATATTTCTAATTCAAATTTAGTTTGAGCGTAATAAACCCGAAAAACAATATATCTACCCGCAAAAATACGCAACGGATGCAGAATATCCGCAACATTAAAATCCATACGCTGCTTGTACTAGGCTCACATAAGGTTCCGGAGGTACAAAACCTTGTAGATGAACTAACTCGCTATGGAGGGAAAGTTGTTTTGTAAGCGTGGGCGACAAGTCGCCTGGACTAACACGTGACCCAGCCAGCCGTCTGTTTTTAAGAAGGTGAGCGTTTATTTGACCTTACAGGAGGTGCATTGCAGGCGAGTTGTCCGTCACAAACGAACAGTATTATTGTGTTTGTTTCATACATATTTATAATACAATAAAATTGGAAAATATTAATTGAGTACTAATAAATAAACGTTTAAAGATATAATTGGTGCACATTTGTATAATTTTTCAAACGTTCCGTTTTATTTTCTTATGCAGGTAGTTTTAATACTACCTACTTATTATGAATTTATTTTTTGCCTAAAAAAGTAAATACTTCAATCTCTCTAAATTGAAAGCGGCACTCGGTTCTGCCGGCAACTACAATAACCAGGATCGTATAACCAACAGAGAGCTGAACTAGACTGGTTCCCGCCAGAATACAGCCAACATACATAATACAGATCTGTGTGCGTACTCAGCCTGTAAAATGTAGGTGGGTCTAGAATGTACACTATTGCAGCAGCGCCAGCCGTCCTGCTCAGATCTCACGTTGCGTGATATATTTGACCCAGTAGGCGTGTCTAGAAAATAAATGGAAAATGTACACATAAACGTAAAACCACATGTCTCCGAGGGTAGTCACCCTAGTAGCCTCATTCAATAAGCCTATTGAATGAGGCGTTAACGTAAATTTAATTTTTAATATAGTAAATGAACTCTCCGCAGCAAGTTACCCAATATTGGCAATTTGCATTTCCTTCACAATTGAAATTTCAAACTATTATTTCATAGATAAGCAAATTACATTTGTAATTGTCAAATTTATTGATCAATATTATTCATTAGCAAAGAATATTGCCCTGAGAAGAACTAGTAAGAAACTCAAGTTGTTCTTTGGAAATAGATATATCATAGGTACAAAATACATGAAAGGGCTAAACGGAGCACTTCCATGGATTTTTGTCTTCCAAGTAAACTGAAACAGTAAATATAATTTTGTTCAAAGTCAGTTGCAAATTTCCAAAATCAACAGAGATTTTATTATATCTACTTGTAATACTAAATCGTCTTTCTAGTCTTTGTAAATTACGAGATTTTTGAAATAATACATAAACTGAATTATGTTACAAATTATCTGCTTCAAGGACGTCCGCTTTTTGCATCTTTGCAAATAAAAAATTCGAATCTCAAAACTCAACGCAAACACGGGGAGTTACCTGTAAAAAGCTTTTGACTACCAGAACGGTGTGATCGGCAATAGGTTTTTCATGCCGTGTTCGTAATCACGACAGCGAAAAATAATTTGAAATTCATGAATAATAAATTTGATTCAAAATCTGCACGGTCATTAAAGTTGTTCAAAGTTTTCAACACATTTGTATTTTAATTTTTTACAAGTTCCTCCCAATGCAATAAATGCATAGGTAGTTGCACATGTAATGCATGTGCACTACCTATGCATTTATACAACAAGTACACTAATAATGCATGTCGCACGGGAACGCGACGTAAATGGAGAGATGTGGAGGAAGCCTATATCCTATATATCATATCGAGTATACCTATGTCACTAAACCATGTTAATTCCCCTGATAGAGACATCGTCGCTTACGTCAAAAAGCTCACCTATCTCAAAACTGCATTAAATATATTTCCTCTGAGTTTTATTAATCAAAGTTGCTGTTTTCCACATTAAAAAAATCATAAAACATAAAAGGTATTTTAAAAACACTACCATCTTTTTGGTCATTATGGAATTATCAGACTCACTAGAGGGTTTGTCGTTACACTCTATGAGCTTCAATGTGGGTGGCATTCTAAACGCAAGTATAAGAGAGCTACCGAACCCCTACTAAAATACAAACCAGAACAGTACAGCCAAATAACGCTAGATGGCGTTAGCAAGAAAATAATAATATTAACAATAGATATCCATAATAATAATATTAATAATAATAAAGGTTTTTGCTTGGTCCTAATCTCCCTGGTAAAAACCATAGCAAAACCGAGCGTCCAGTTATAACGTTACTACTACCCAGCATTCGATAGGACTGGTAAATTAATTTTACTTTTGAATAGGACCACGTGGCCTAGGACTTCGTGAATGAGGTATCAGGGAAATATAAGCTGAACGGAGATAGCAGAACTACGTCTAAAATGAAAACGCACACACATTATAGTACTACATGACAAATTATTATTCGTCTCTTTCCAGCTTCGGAAATGTAAATCTATTTCCATTTGAGTAAAAGAGACAGAACGCTGCATGTCATTAATAAATGATCTGGATCACGCTTATTGTCTAGACTGGGGTGAAACCTTTCCCACACTACTTCGGCAGGGGTGACTTTTCATTTTTGCAGAATCGAATTGACCATTTCTGTCTCTGTCAAACTAATGCATTATAAGCCGTCTGGATTAATCTATCTTTGTCTAGGTTACAAGTAAGGTGACTGCTGATACCCCACTTACCAGAGTTATGCCACCCTAAAGAACATTGATATTTTGTTGAAGATAGGCAACAGATGACTTCAGATTGTTTCGATGCGAATTACTTAAGCTATAGAATATCTAAAATAATTAACGATTACGACGCTATAATTTTCATCCATCCAAAACAAAAGACAAACCAAAACAGACATTCTGTCAGTGCCTGCTGGCCGGCTATACCAAGCAGGCTGCGTCAAAGAATATAACATTCTCACAGTCATAACATTCCCACCTTCAGTATTGCAAGGCAATACTCAATCAAATCAGTCTTGGTCAGGTCAGTCTTGATCACACCAATGTCAGTCTGTCGGATCTGAGTTGGTCGGATCATAAGTCACCTACAATAAAGCTCAGTTAAAGAAAAAAGAAAAGGTCGGGAGGTGAAGAAGTCAAATCTTTACTAGTTAGTCGGAGTCTGTACAGTTCGTACGTCTAGCCGGCACAGTTTTGTCACAGGTCTTTTATGTCCCTGTTATGGTCTTTACCTCAACTACTCTAACTATAGGTTTAAAACAAAGTATCATCCAAATTTACAGAACACTTCGTATTACAAACTTTACAGTTAACTTTAAATATGTAATTCACGAGATGATCAACGTATCTATAAAGAAGAAATAAACATCAAATAGCAAGTACACACACAGACGGGGTGCACACACATATACACAGAAACAAAACGAACGTGTTACCGGCAGGCCTGGCAACTTCTGTTTTGTCATGTGTGCCTGGTACTTCATCTCACTAAAAACGCCAATGCCGGCCTGGACATGCGTACTAGAATGGCGGGTGCGATGGAATTGGACCTGCGCGGCGGAAACAGGACAAGTCCAAGTTTGTTATACGTACGTACCTACAAAGGTAGCTTAGAGCACCTTGTTGTTAGAGGAGTCTCGCTTAGACCCGTATGGTTATTTTCTCTGAGTCTCACAAATTGTTTTGCAACAGGAAATGTAATAAATGTATTAGGAATATTTCGTTCTATCCCAATTCAAAATTTATTTCATGTCTTTGTAACCAAATAAAAATTTAGTACTAATTTTATAGTGATTTAAAGTAGACATACAGGGCATGGAATATGGAGGGAAAGTACTTTAAATATTGTAGATAGGATACTTTAATTTATGGAGATATTGTTTTATTTCTAAAAGTAAGTTATTCTGAGCCCAAAGGCATAAAAAGTAGCTTGCCTCATCTAAGAATTGAACCGACGAAATGAAAAAAATGCTGTATTTGTAATAAAATGATAATGCATATATTTTTAAAAGTACGAACATCGATAAGGAACACCATGATATTTAAACATTTAAGTATTTTTATTAGAATATTTAATTAGAATATTCATTCAAACTTTTAAACTTGTTATAATTGACATTTTGAACAGAATATCTAAAATAAGTTTGAATTGTCAACTACGACTAAAATACGTAGCAAACAACTTATAGAACCATTGTTCGTAGAGTTTTTGTAGCAAGTTCGTAGACATTTATTGCCTACGAAGTGTCTACGATACTTATTTCTGAAAACTTACGGATACAATACCTAAATTCTGAAGACGTTATTTATTCTAAGCACTAACCTCTTACTTACACGTGGTCAGCTGAAAACCTTGATTTCGACACAGAGGGGATCGTGTATGCGCCAACTTCAGTATCTAATAATCTACATATGTAAAGTCTACACACTGGAAAACAGACTTATATGCACGGACCTTAGAACAAATTGCTTACAGTACACTAGTGCTAATATTGTAACATTATTTATTAAGTAATATTTTATCAAAATGATTTCAATAATTTTGGAAATAATTGGGGAAGAGTCTAAAATGCACTTACCTCAATATCTTCTTTGTTCGGCAGTAATGGAGCTTCCAAGATGTTCTTTAGGCAGAAGTCTTCATTGTCCAGTTCGAAAATGTACTTCGTAACCTCCATGATGCGCTGCCAGTGTCGAGGTTTCATGGCCTTGTTCGCCATTAGCTCCAGAAGAGGGCACATGTCGTTGAAATCGTCGATTGTCTTCTTTAATGCGAAGAATGCAGGCCACTCTTTCAGACTGTAAACAACAGATACTTTTTAAAAATCTCGCATTTGTACATTCGTCATTGTGTAACATCCATGGATTTATTTTCAACATTCAGAGCCCTAAACGACTGTGCGTCAAAACAACTGTGACATTGTGATTAAAATTGCACGTTGCATTTCAAAATTTGTAATAATATTCATTCTTGCATATTCTAACTAAACGCTACGAACCCTTTGGGAAGTTTACGACATCTATTCTGGAATTCCATCAGTTCATTGTTAATCTCTTCAATGTTGACCTCTCCCCACGGAATGTCGTAGTAACTGCTAACACGGTCAATGACGTCATTATACAGTTTGTATAACTTCTGCAGTAGGTTCAGCTCCTTCCTGATTTGGGCCAGTTCAGGATATTCCGTGTGAGGTAACCCAAACAGTTCTTCACCATTTTGGTATGTTTGGAGCTTTCGCCACATTCCATCAAAACGATTCTAAAGTAAAAGAAAAAATGTATTAAACTTTAGCATTCTAAACGAAAGACAAGTGTCTGTTCACATATTCGAAAACAAAATGTAATTTTTGTTCTAAAGTTAATTTCTTGGGAGAAAAACTCACTTGGAAGAGTATCAGGCGATCAGATGCCTCTCTCGGACTCAAACCTGGCTGCATAGGTCCAGCATGCCTGTACTCATGGCAGTAGTCAGCGTTGTCTTCTCTAAACTTATCTAAGTTATTCTTCAGATCTTCTTCGAACTGCGGTTGCATACGTAGAAGCTGAACGTGAGACGCTAGAGCCGTGGCTTGTAGCTGCTGCCAGCTGTATCGAAGGTTATCTACTTGTTCCAGATCTTCTTTGTTTACAGGAAGTTCGTAACGAGTTATGACGTTAAACGCTTCCTAAAAACCCAATCAAACACATTGAAATGGCCTGTAGAAAGATACTGTGATGACTAAAATAAATTTAAATTATATTGACGTACCTCAACAGGATCAATTTTAAGTTCCATGTCAACTTCTTGCTCTCGAATCTTTTTGAGGGTTTCCATTACAGTTCTAACATCATCCAAGTCTCTTATTGGTCTTTCCAGCTTGCGCTCTAGATCGTTCATAATAGCATATACATAATCCATCTCTCGTTTGTATTTTTTGCGCATAGCTTGACTTATTCTGTGTGTTCCATCTGAACAAATAATCTTGATATGTTAATTTGAAAGAAGGTAGTAAGTAATTCAGTTGTAACAAATTTAACTTACTTTTGAGTTCCGTCATCAATCCCAGCTTCAACTTTTCAGTAGACACTGCTACACAGCTGCCTATGACAAGAATGTCAGGTTCCGTAGCCAGTTTAGCTTCCAGTTCGCTATGTCTTTTCAATGCTGTCTCAAAATCGTTAAGGTTCCATGCCAAAAGTTGCCTTAGAGTTTTTTCGCACTTCCACAGATAGTGGTATGGACGCCAACGTTTTACTAGATTGTTCAGTTCCTAAAAATAAATGCATTTGGTACCGAAATTCGTGTAGTAAATAATACCAGTGTTATAAGGGCGTACAACCCTGTTTGTTTCTTACAAATAAATTAAAATAAAATGGAATTGCATTTACCGTTTTTATGTTCTGCGTACATGTAGACAGTAGTGACAGAGTCTTGACAATCTCTTTATTCTCCATTATGTGACTGTAGAAATTTTTCTGTTGAAAAGGGAACGTTGGTTTCTCTTCGGATTCCAGCCTGTAGTGTTTCTTACGCTTCGTCTTTGCTGTTTCCATCACTTTGAGGGACTTCTGGGCCATCGCTAGGTTCGTCGTCGTCACTGATTGGACCTGTTTGTCAATCCTTGTGACTACGTCTAGGAGCTGGTTCGGCTGATGCCCCGCTAGTTTCTTCCAGCCCTATATTACGAACACATGCGAGGGATGGGACAAAGCGGCGCAAAAGAAAGAGGAGAATGGTACCAAGGAACATATAAAACGCGACATCAAGTGTGTGTGGCAAACAAAAACACAAGAAGCATGCGAGCACATAGTAGAAGTAGACGCAGACGAGTACACAGTCGATTACACAGGTGAAGACAACATACACAAAACAGTTAACAACACATTGGAAGAGGTGAGGAGTTAGAGAACATAGTTAGTACATTCTATAGTGATATTTACACACATGCGATTATTCTACCTAATAGTTAGTTGTTACATAGTAAGACTAGCATTTCGGAATGCCGTATTATAAGCATTGTTATTTAAATAGCATTTAAACAATGTACAATTTAATATACAAATGCAGGGTACATACAGAGCGTTACAAATTCCCCCCACGTATCTCTTATTAATTTATTTATATAGAAGAAAATCATTGTATTAAATTACCTCTTAACTTAAAGTTCGTTAATAAAGTTCATAATTTTTTTGTTAATATAAATATTAATAAGAAAAGTAATCAATTTTCGTTCAACAAAAAGGGTAAAGATTTTTTATGGCACACATGAGTCACGAATTCCTTTTTAGTTTAATTTAAAAGAAGGTCATCGTTCAAAAATAAGCAGGGTTTCTTTTTAATCAGTCCAGTAGATACGCTGATTATGAAATAAAATTCTGCATGACATGGAATTTTCATGTCTAAAACGTCACCATGGCAATTGATAGGCAAATACTTGATGTGCTTTGTGTTTTTCTTATTATATTAAATCTTCTCCTCTTATATTAAATCTTTCTTATTATATAAAATGTAAACCTTCATTTCCATATTTTATCAACACGTACTCTCTGCATGAATATTCTTTTGAGAAATAAATATACTAAATATATAAATAATATTATGTTAGAAAATAAATACGGCAGTAAATTTGTAAAAAAAATGTAAATTTATGAAAAATGCAATTCAAATTACTATTTAAAATCTATGTATTTATAAATAATCATTTTTTTAATACTATCAAATATATTACTTGTATTTTAATTAATATCTTTATTTTGAATAGATTATTTTAGATTATTATTTATTATTCATAATAATTAATATCAAGAGAGATTTTATGCGGATCCGGACATCCGCAACTTGCCGTCAATGTACCAGGATCGCAGAAAACTACGGATATTTCGCGTTTAACAACTAACGTGTTGTACGTTCCATTGGCAACGCGATTTTTGTCCTTATATCACATAATGTAAGGGCTCCGATAGGAGACTTTAAGAAAATAATCTATTTTCTTGTGGATTTTCCGTCTGCGTGAGATAAGAGAGGTCATTGTATTTTGTCTGTACAATTAAATGTAAGGTATTTATTATTAAAAATTACTTTAAGCATTTAATGACTAAATTTTAACGAGCGTGTAATTTATTCATACAGAATTCTAAGAAGATTCAAAAACCTGTACATATTATTCTCAACTAAAACTTAAGAATAGGAGAAAAAAGATATTAAATACCGTCGGTGACTTGCCCCCGCTCCATTGGGCGACTCCTTTGGAAAGACCAACAATATGCTTTCCTGCGGCCACGAGCGCCTCCTGGATTTCTTCCAGTGTTGGTTTTACAGACACGTTGGGAATCATCAACGCGACTTGAAGCAGGAAGATAGGTTTCTTGACTGATTCTAAAATATATGACATAATTATTAATAGAAAGATACATACAAAGAAACATTCATTTGATTCGGCTGGACTCGAACCAGCGCCTTCAGCATGACGCGGTTTACGCTGTCCCAACTGAGTTACGGGACGAACCATTAACACACACAAGTATTATATTTTCTATCTCTACCAAATAGAGTTCTAGGTTGATAATAAACAATCCCACAGAAACCTTTTTTAGCATGTGGTACGTACTCCGTTGCAGCTCGAGTGTATTAGTTATTAATGTGGGCAATGTTTTCATACGTAAATACATTCTAAGTACGTTTAAAGTACCAGCAATATATGAACAGTAATACTGCTTGTTTGCATTAATATTAAAATTTAATACAATAAACACTTAAGCTACATCACTTTTTTACGAAACTTAATAACCAAGAATTGTAGTTATAAATTTTGACTATATAATATGAATTTTTATAAAATTTTGTAACTGTAGTATACATATTAACGATACAATTTTTTTATCGTAAGTTGTTCGAAATTTCAAAGTTACTTCAGCCGATGGATCATCAACAGTTAGGAACGCATAATCTAAAAAAAATTAAGGAATATTATTTTTTAATACGATTTTTATTAGATCATGTCAAATTAGTGTATTTGTAGGTATTAATGGCGACGTTTTGTAAAATATTTTATATGACAATAAAGTTTGGGAAACACTTTTCTTCTTATTATTAGATTATTATTTAACTATTGTTGGTGATACGATATAAAATCAACTTTTTCCCTTATCTAATCTAAATATCTTCGCCAAAATCTTCTCCTGACTCTCTGTTCTTCGACCTTTCACCTCTGGCGGGCAGTTTAGTTTCATACTCTGTTCGTCGTTACTGTGTTGAATTCAGTTCTTTAACTGATTTCTTGTTTAATTATTATAGTTCTTTAAATAAGTGATGATTAAGATAAAATATCCCAGAAAAAGCGATCTGAGTTCAATGTGCGAGTAGTCGTTTTTGGCATACAAAAAGTCACTAGTTTCGGTACCCGAAAAACAGAGGGCATTATACACTATACGTAGCTCAATGCTATGCCCTATGCAATTGTTCATGCTAACGCGTCGGTACGTGGTTTGAGCGGAAGAAAAGCCGATTCCGCGTTATGTGATGCTCTCAAATACTAAAAGTTTCCATTTACCAAGTATTTAAATGATGTGAAGGATTTTTTTTTAAGGAAGGAAAATTAATTAATTTTTAGACGCAACGCTTTCGCTCTTATTGCTTAAAGCTTTTTCTGACCTGCGGCATAAGCCGATTTCATGTTAGTAAGTGTGTCCAGTCCCAAATGGGAAAGATTTGTCTGTGATTTGGATATTTATATATAAATGAAGATATGAAAGTTAGGAAATGAAATAATTTTTCCGGATTTAAATCGCGTATATTTGTTTTTCAAACAAAATAAATATGTAAATATAAATCCGGAAAAATAGTTTCATTTCCTATGTGTAACAATTGCGAAAACCTAAGACCTCGAGATATGAAAGTTGTTTTGATCTTTGCTATTTAAATTGGACTTTGCATGAGAAGTATTTATATCAAGGTAAAAAACATTATTTTTCTATGTTAAAAACAGTACAAATGCAATAAAAATGTTATTTATTTTTCTTTTATAAACCGTGTTTAGTTCTTGAAAAATCCGGTAGATGGCACTGACCTATTTTCGTTCGAAGCCTGAATCGCGCGGAGTTTCTAGATACGGTAAACCAGGAGCATATAAATGCAAAGTGGTCTATTATGAGATGGTTTGGAGTGCGTCACGGGAGGGACGCACGGCGATGCTAAAATAGGGTGAATGGGGTGAGGAATAGGTTCACTCTATTGGCCAAGACTGCGGACTGGGCCGGAATAAAAGTACAGGTCCGCAAAGCCGTATGGGCCCGATCGTAACATGCATATATTGAAAAATATTCGTCTATCTTGCGTTTTGAAATGGAGTGGCCGAAATGAGTTCAGTAAGTGTTGTGTTTTTCAAGTATCGTTATGAGCTACTATTGTGTTGGTTAAGTTGCAATTGAGGCGACAGGCAGTTGCAGCGAGAGAGGATAAAATATAGCATCAGCAAATACTTTTATTTAATTAACAAACAAATTAAGAACCTATCCAACTAAAAAAATAAGAGCATTTCTTGTTGGCATTTTGTTACATTTACACCGTCAGTAGGTCAAATACGCGATTCGATTTCTTTTTATTGGTACATTCCATTCATTCTACATTTTCCATGCCTTCGCTGCCCATGAATTTTACCGGCGTAAAATTGACGTGGTGTAAACTGGATTTATTGTAATAAAGTATCATTGTAATTTTAATTATTTAATACATGTCAACACAATATTTCCATACAATTAAAAATAATTATGTTCTATCTAGGCTATCTGTGTACAATACATTCGTACTTTTTAGTAACTATACCTACATTCCTGCTAAAGTACTAGTTAAATAGTAAATAACGTTGAAAATTATTAGAAACGATATTTAGTATGCCGCGTCAAATGCACACCGCAGCCGCTAGTAAAAAAAACCATGAGATGCAGCCGCCGATGATTTTAAAATTCCAAGAATGTTTTATTGTCCACGTGACTTAGACCTGCGTTTTATATGTAGAATTGCAATAAACGCTAGATGGGTTCGACCCATTTGAACCTCGATTTGTGTGAAACCTCGGGTCTCGTAGTTCAAAACGCTGGTAGTTCCAGTACACGAGTACCAGGAGCATATGACATACAAGGAGTCTATCCAGGAATAGCGTTCGGTATGGTCAGAGCCAGGCAAGTTGGATCCTATAACTGGTAGAGTATATATAGCAAAGGATGTGGTATTCTCTGAAGATCAATTATGTAAACGCAATGAACTTTCTAACTCAGGTGCAGAACTTCACGTTCAAGTGGATCATCAACTAGTGGAAGAAGTCCACTTGCTCAGTTCTGAAATATCTACAGAGGTAGATACAGATATCAGAAAAGATGATGAGTTACCTCAAGCTGAAGCAAAAACTCAAATTGTTAATCAAGTCACCAGACCAAGTCAGGTTTCAGTAGAAGCGTACAAAGAGCCTGAGGATGAAACTGAAGCTACGTGTCAGCTGTTGAAGGAGAACGAGCAGAGCCTGTGACTGAAAGGAGGTATCCTTTAAGAGAAAGGAAAGCCAAGCAGTTCCCTGATTACATTCTGTATCATGCAACTGAAATGGAAACGGACCCGACTTCAGTTCATGAAGCTTTGTTAAGAAAAGATGGTGATAAATGGAGAGCAACATTCGAGAAGAATTAGATGCATTCAGTAAAAATAACACATGGACCCTGGTAAAAACTTCAACGTAGTTGTTTCCAAATGGTTATTTCGAATCAAAGAAGAGGGGGGAAATAAAAACGAACTCTACATATATACAAGATCATAGATTTAGTATATAGGTACATTGGCAATGCAAGTGAAAGAGCGTTAGTATACACGTATGTTAGAGCGAGATGGGTAGACGAGACCACTTCATTATATGCTTTGAGCCTGTATGAACCTAGCTGACAACGAAACAAATTTCGTTTATTTTTGAAAAATAATTGGTTTTAAAATGTGAAATAGTATTAAACGGACGTTTATTAGTCACGGTAACGTGTTCATTGCCCGGATGTAACGCATCTAAAAAGGAAAACTCGCAGAATTGTACATTTCACATGAAAGTACTATTTAAATTTTTAGCTATCTAAACTACCACAAAAGTTTTTTACATAAATATATCCGTAAAATTGTACCATTCAAGTGCATTAATAACCCAAATGTATACGAATTCAACTTTAACAACAAAATTCAATTCAAGAGATTGACGCAATCGATAATATGTTATCGAGATATCATTAACTGAAAAAAAGAAAGGCAAAGGCGTGTCTTGCATACAGCCGAAATCGTCTTCATACTTAATATTATTGATTCAGAAATTTCTGGTTTTAGTACTTTATAATTAACATTGCATTAGTGCATTATTTTTTGTCTACATTAAAACGAAAATTTCTTTTAATAGCGAAGTTGAGGCACCCATTTTTTTATGTTAATTATTGTTGTTGATTCAGATTTCCTCAAAACATTAAAGTACAACAGAAATGGCTTATAATGCTAAAGAGAGAAGACTGGGTTCCCAAAAAGTTTTCAAATATATGCAGCAAACACTTTGAGGAAAAATGCTTTTCCTTTAGAGGCAAGCAAAGAGTAAAGCTACATTCTGGTTCTGTACCCACATTATTCATGCCGGTATGTTCTACAATTAATGGATTTTTGTGTAGTACTACTCTCGTCAACAACAAATTAGCGAAATCGCTTCGAGGGCCGCAGTTGGAGTTGTCCTCATGCAGCCAATCGTCGCCATGCAGGCTAGTCTTTGGGATTTGTCCTGCTTGTTGGTTGCGGTCGTCAGCTTGGTTCGTGGCCATCATACTATCGCGCCGTAACTGATCATGGGTCTTATCACCGTTTTGTAGAACCGTAGTGTTATCTTGGGTGAAAGTCCCCATTGTTTACCTACCATCCTATGGCGCTGCCAGGTCTAAGAAGTCCTGATATCCAAATTTGAAATGAACTTGGACAAGCAGATCTTATTTTGGGTATCAGAATTACCCAAAATAAAAATGAAATAAAAATAGATCAAGAGAAATACGTCGCAAAACTTCTCAAAACGTATGGCATGGAAGATTGCAAGACAAGTGCTATTCCAGCAGCACCCGGGTCTCATTTGTCAAAAGAAGGAAATTCTGAGATAAAAACAGATGAAAGTATTCCATACCAAAACTTGATCGGATCCTTAATGTACCTGTTTGTGTGCACTGGACCAGATATAACGCATGCGGTTAGCACTTTAAGCCAGTTCAATACTTGTTTCACACAAGAATATTAGATAGCGGCAAAAAGAGTTCTAAGTTATGTTAAGAGGACAAAATCCTAAGGAATAAAGTATTCTAAAAACTACAGTTCAGAAAATCTTAAATACAAGGATTCTCAGATGCCATGGTGTCATGGTGGAGATATGGATCGGAAATCCTGGTCTGGTTACGTTTTTACGGCTCAAGGAGGAGCTATGCTGGCAGAGCATAAAACAGCGGACAATAGCGCTTTCAACAGCTGAAGCGGAATATGTGGCCCTATCAGAAATAACGAGAGAGGCATATTCATTAGAAGACTTATAGTAGAGATCACCTGCACTGAGGAACAGTGCATCACCATCTTCAGTGATAGTCAATCTGCTATAGGCATTACAGAGAACCCTGTACACCATCAACGCACTAAGCATATTGACCTACGTTATTATTTTGTCAGAGAAGCTGTAGAGAACAAGCAGGTAGTAATAAACTACATTGAAACAAAACCAAAAGCCTTGGTGAAAGGGAAATTTGAATGGTGTGTGTATATGATGGGTTTGAGAGTGTTTGATGGAATGATTTCTTAAAATTTAAGGAGAAGTGTTAGAAAAGAGATTTGCATGGTGTGTGCAAGCTACCTTTTATATTTTTTTTGAAATCTGAAAAATGTCAACTGTCTCCAAATTCTCTCGTGTCAACCGACTAGTTTAATAAACTTAAATTACCAATTTGCTTCCTTATTGTGGTTTACATTCATCGTCGACTGTTATATCAACAGGGATAAACGCACTAAATATAAAGTCTAAAATGTCTATGACAATTATTTATGATAATTTATGTCACAATAATTTACACATAATTTGCTGCTCCTGGCTACGATTTTATTAAATTGGTCTTGTGAAAATGTAAGAAATTACCTCGCCAGCTGCAATAGTTATTTGTTATTCAACGCTGCAAACATTTTGTTTGGCGCGAGTGATTATATTGAAACTTGAGCAAGTGAAGAAAGCTAAGACTGGACCATGAAAAGACGAAACGAGAGGTTAAAAAATTGAATCCTGGGCGTAGCGAGGGTTTCAAGGCAACTTTCCTGCCGAGCGAAACACACAACTTTTCACCTCACTATAGCGAGGAAAATGGTAGACGAAAGAAAAACAGTTGAACTATGTATTAAACTCTTACTTAAACTCGCTCATGTTTTGTCTCTTTTCAATTTATTACAGTACAATTCAATCCAAACTATTGAAATTGAAGTGATTAAAATGAAAATTTGTTTTTTTTTTCTTTTTTCCATAAAGGAAAATGCAAAGGTTTTACACCATACAGCCAAGTCTTAGTACATTATTCTTTTTTGGTACATGAAGTTGAATTATGTTTCTGTAAATATGGCCGCCACAAAGAGGATAGGCAATTTGATTAGGCGGCGTGTTTGGATTGACTCGGGATTCCTTAGAACGGGCCGATACGGGTATTTTAGTTCGAGATTCGTATAATTTCGCGTTTTAATCTTCGATTAAGGCACAATAGCACTACCCTATTCCACTTTAAACTAGATTTCACAAAATAATTGAAAGTCAAAATAAAAACTACACTTTTCCCTCCAAAAGGTCCAGAGCGAATCATGAAAATTTGAACAAAATAAGTTTAGTATTGGGTGTGTTCTGAATTTACACCACATACGTTTTCTTCTTCTTTGTATTATAATTTTATGTGGTTAACGAAATTATTTTAGTTCTTCGACAAATTAAAATAATCCAATTAAACAAAATTTGTGTTATCGTTGTCAATTTAATATCAATAATAATAAGAATTAATTATACAACGGATTAATATTATGTAAATACTTAATGTACTTATGACGAATCGCGTTTCGGAACGCGTCACTATTTTTTTTCTATTCAAAAGAAAAAGTTTATTATTTTATAATATTTCGGATGCATTCTGAATTTGAATCTCATCAATGTTTATTCTTGCTTGTACTTATAATTTTGTGTGATTATTGAAATTATTTTAGTTCTTCGACGAATTTAAATAATTTAATAAACAAAAATAGTTATCGCGGTCAATTTAATATCAACCATAATAAAAATAAAATATACCAACGGATCAAATTTACATAAATAATGTACGACAAATCACGTAGTTGAACGTGTCATTATGATTTTTTCTTCATCGAAGGAAAAGGTTAGGTGCACCACAGTCCATCGTCAGGTTCGAATTTCAAAAACCTTTTCCACGCTTGTGTGCAAATTTCTAATGAGAAAGAAGAAAACCTTTCCGAGCTAGTGAGGTGAAAAGTAATCATGTTTCTCTAAACTTGTTTGTTATTCCTTATAATGTGTTATTTGAATGCTTTGATTTTATAAAATTGTAGTATTAGTTTTAATAAATAAGTTTGTAATGGAAGACAATGAAGTTTTTATCTATTAAAAGACACATATTTTTAAGCAACTGGATTAAAAAACAAGTTATGTTTTACTTCACACCTAAACTTAGACATTCCGTACATTGCCATCGACCATTGTATTCTTAGAAAATCTTTGATGTTGTGACATTAGTTTGTGTGTAGTTGCCTTGGCGTACTTTTTCCTGGATTCTTGCTTTGTATATAATATTCTAATTATAAATACCTAAATTATGTATTATGCATGCAGCACATATTACTAGACATTTTTAAATTACAATTTCAATGTTATTTACAAATTAATACAATGAATGTTTGGATTATATTATATAGTTGTTTGTGTTATTATAATGAAAGGAATACTGTTAAAAATTTGTAAGTTGATATTAAATGAACCTCCAAGTATAATGGAATAATTTCTGACACATTATAGATTGACGGTCAATTTCGTGCTGTGTGGAAAACAGATGCATAAATGTATTGGCAGCGTCCTTGCGGCGGCCTTAGAACCCGCACGTATACCAGGCGCACAGAACGATCGAAGAGATTTCATGTTAGTGACGCCGAGACACGCCCTTACTCCCCTATAGCTCATCCGCTAACATATTCATAGGCACATTGTACTTACATATAGGTCATTTGGTTTAGGGTCACAGTGTGTGCACTGTTTACTGGACTGGGTCTGTTAACCTAACCGTATATGTTACATTGCTATAGGTCCGATCGAAAAGGTGCATTTTGTGTTGTAAATAGCAACACTATCGTTTGACAAGCATATTGGGGTTTTTATCATCATTTCAATTTCAATTTAATGAATATTATTACTGATTTACATGCACGTTATAATTTTAATTCGTAAAACAATGGAATATCTTCTAATTAATTATATTATATAGTATTGCAGTATGATGGAGATAAATGGAATAAAAGCATACTGCGTCGACCCCAAACAATGATTTATCAGTTTAATGATAATATGAATAAAATGATTCAGCTTTATTTATATGAATTTTGTTTTATATAAGCAAATCCAATAATATACAGATTTTTTGTTTTCTTGTTAATATGGAAAAATTTAAACTGATGGCTACAGTATTGAAAATATATTGTTTAATATACCCAATTATCGAACAGGTAATTTCAAGAAATTCTGATACTTATATTAAAAAAGCTTTTAGGGAAAATAAAACCAGCTTTGATAAAACTTAAATGTGAGCTTTGCGCACCATTTTTGGCAAGGCCGCTGAGGAACCGCGCGAACCATGGTTCAAATCTACCCGTGATATCTATGAAATAAATACTTTTAGTGCACTATTTACTTTTTTGTTCTTTTTCTCTAGTTTCTCAATAATTTTCCAATTATTCATAATGCATTTCTGCTATTTTTTCTCTAAAACACGCATTTTCTAAGATCCGCACGAAGAATGTTCCGCACTTGCACCAGGCTCACAGAATCCGTGAGGAGGTCTAATTGCGATACATTTTCTCACCTGGAGAAGCCTAAGTTTATAGACGGTCATAACTACAACAGTATTTCTCTTTCTTTGGCATTGTGAAAAAGAAAACAAATGTATTCCAGCCTGTTACGTCTCATACTCGTATATCAAATTCACATTGAATCGTAATGTAAAGTAGCAATGACGAATATGTAAAAATGATTACGTATGACCTTTTTCCTTGTGGAACGCAACGAAGGATTCATCGGTTAAGCGCGTCATGCGCATGCGTGGGGTTTGTGGGATGAGGCAGGGCCTCCACCCTACCATCTGAACGAACATAGCAGGTATACTTGTTTACTGTTTAGTCGGTAGTAGAAGGCTGTTCAAATATGTAGTAAAATGATCCGATTGACAGAAGGTATTTAGCCACATGAACGTTCAGATTTAAATTTATCTCTAAATTAAAATGTAATGTAAATTATTATCGTTGTTCTTTTCTTAATCAAAGACGCGAGGGCCTAGTTCTTTGTAAAACGCCCATCCCGGCGTAGTAACCAAACAAAAATGTTGTCAATAATTGTAGTTTTAAAACTTGTGCCATTTCAGTCTCCCTGTTTGACGGGGCGAACAAGAAGTGCGCCTGGTGGTAAGCGACACGTCTGGCCGTGGCAGTTGCAGTGCCACTTACGAGCTTTAAATAGCAAAGATCTGATGGGCACTGCCACTGCACCCGTCACCCTGACAATAACTTGACAAGTCCCTGTACCAGTAGAATACAGTAATGCTTACATTACTGCATGGTGGTAGAAATAGGTAAGGTGGCAGTACTTCCCTGGATGAACTTTTTCACAAGAATCTCTACTGCGGCTAAAGTGTGTTTGTATCACGTCCTACTGGGGTAAGCACGAGACCATGAATCTCCGCTACGTTCCTGATAAACTTCTTTCGTCTCCTCTATACGCATCAGTCTCTTTATACTAACCGATTATTCTAGTTACTATGAACAGGTCCTTTTGTAATGACATTCCTTTTGTCTATTTCAAATAGATATTCGTATGTAAAGAGTTTTATTAGATAAATCCTAAAATAAAGTTAAAATAGAATGAGAAGCAGTTTTTTTTGCGAATAAAAAAGTCCTAAATCAGGACTCATTTACTTTTATTAGATAGGTAGAGTAATAAATGCAGATATTGAAATGGAAAATTAATTTTTCACTTCTCATGCTCTCAAAGTTCGTATTTATTCTGGGTGTAGGCTGCATGAAATAGGATTTTATGATCCAGTGCATAAAATAAAAAAACCATCACATTAAATATGTCTAATTGTTGCAATTTTACATTCAATTTTTATTAAATAATCGTTTATTTGTAATATTGCTGTTTAATTTCCACACAATCGAAGTGTAAAGCAGAGCGTATAACTCGTTCATAAAACCCATTTTACGCCTCAACTTAAGTAACCATCCTCGCCTGCGGCTCGGGTGGATGTACTCGTCTCGGGTAAAATGACGCGTTGTATGCACTTGTTGTACAATACAATCTACTAAGTAGTATTTTCTCTATTATCCGAATAAATAGAGCAAAAAAATAAGTCAAGTTATAAGAAAAACCGATGGCGTCGAACCGTATGGAACTCGGACCTAAAACGCGAAGTTCTGTGAAAAAAGTACTAGGACGTCATAAATGAAAAAAAAAACTCTCAGCAGGTATCGCATCCGCCGTCTTTAGAACCATCTGTCGGCAGTGTGGAAAACTAAAGCAAATACTGCGCACAGATGGCACATTATTGGTATATGCGCTGGCTCAATGCTTACTTGCCATACCAGCAAGGTCTGTTTTCGTGAAAATTTCTAATTTTAACCGCGCGACGCAAAAAGAGGGGAGTTTGCATCGTGTACCTATCTATCTATATGTTGGCTGTGGCATCGTAGCACCCACAAGGGTGGATTTATCTCAGACATAAATAAACATTTCCAATAATTAATCTGACAGCTTAATATGAGTTATTTTTTATATTTATTACTGACAGTGAAATATATTTAGAATATCGACTTCTTAGGTTTTCGCGATTGTTACACATAGAAAATAAAACTATTTTCCGGGTCGTGTAATAAATCGCGTACATTTGTTTATTCAAACAAACTAACGTTTCGGGCCCTTTTCAGGTCCCATGGCATCGAGTAGATACATAAACAGAAAGAGACGAAATGTCATTTAATTTGTTTGAAAACTATTCTGTCATATATAACGTGACAACTGCGCTCCGATTGGCCAGCCCGAATTTGTCAATTGTTTTACTTCAAAACGACCAGTTTAACTTGAACTTTGCTATAATGGACGAAAATTGCAAAATTACATATTTAATATTTAATTACCTTCCGATGAAATGTGATTCCGTTTGTTTTGTAATTAGATGTTTTGCTGTTTTTCCCACACCACCGAATGGAACAGCCCTCATTGTATTGTCCCTTTATTACAATAAATACACAATATTTTTGGAACACACACACACACACACAGGTCAGTTGTTGGCGCTGTACTATTTCAGTTTTCTAATTTGTGATTTCGAGAACAAATGAGAGTTGATATTTTAAAGTAATAATGTATAAGGCCGATTTACCTAATAAGTTGCCAAGGATGTACGGCCTCTATTTCTGGTTTTATACTTGATGTCCCATGGTGACGGTTGACTGAACGTTGGTTTGTTTGAAAAAATAAATATACGCGATTTAAATGAGGAAAAATAGTTTCATTACCTATGTAAGTATATACAGAAATTCAACAAACAGATTTTTTGTTAATAATTACTACCTGAAATGTATCAGGATTTCTAGTAATTAGGAAATTCGCAAGATGTTCATGTCTAAAACGTGGACAGTCCCAGTACACGATATACCAGGAACATAATTATGAGAAAACAAAGAGCTGTAGGCGTCGTCCCTTCCGAATGCCTTCTTTTTACGACAACAGAAAAACGCAATTAGGCATTTTGTGTCTGTCCTAATGCAGTATAGTTCATACAGTGCTTGTATGATTTTTCGTTTCTATTGTTTATAATGTCCTTACCATCGGTGCTGATAAGGGCTTCGGCTGAAAACGGCTTGATGATGAGGTCAAGAGTGCGCCGCGTTACTTTGATCAATACGTCCACTACCTTGCGACTGTAGTACCGTCTCATTTCGTTCACTGCGTTCTTCACCATTTCCTGGTCAACATTTTTTTTTGTTTAGACAACGCTATCCGCAGATCCGACAATTTGTTAAAGTGCGGCGTAAATGATATTTAGATTTTAAATTTAATTTAAACTGAACAGTGAAGTCCTGCGCTAGCACGACAGAAAGCGACATAGAAACTCGAGAATAGTAGATAACATCTCGCGACTCTATGTCACTTCTCGAGCAAGTCGTGCTCGTCGTGCTAGCGCTCTCGGTTCACATTTTGTAGCACACCACCATATGGATATATAAAATTTATTTCATTTTCGTGACGTAGTTTCTTTATCTACCCATATATTATAGTACTGGAGTATTTAATTGAAGTAACCTGGTTACTCTTGGACAAGCCTCCAGCCGGAGTAGACAGGAGCCGATGAGGGTTTTCGAAGCATTCCCAGACGGCAGACCAGTCCTGCTGCCCGCCTGATGTAGACTCGCTCAATGATGATGCAGGGGCGCTGCCTGTATGGCTTTCATCTGTATTCAAATTTGGCGAAATTCAGCATCTGATAAAAAAATGCATGCCAATAGTATCAAGAAAAGATGAGTGTGTATGATGATACTGATGCCAATATAAGAAGCAAAACAACTATGCATTACTAAACAGACGAAGACATTATTTAATGTTATTTGTGAAAAGTGGGACGATGTAGTTGTAGTTGTTACATTTTTTAGTGTACAAATTGTCTTGTCACTTCATTTACTTACAAATAAAGTCACGAAAGTCAGGAATGCTATGTGAATTTGAATTTTCGCGAAATGAGTAAATTAACATGAGTTAAATTACTCATTTCGTCATGGAGACATTGAACATTATATATAAAAGGACCATTTAAATGGAGAGAGTTTCTCGTCTCGAAGATATGATTATCGAAAGAATATAAAAAAACTTTCCTCGTCTAAACATTCGCAATTATCGCCCTTCCACGTGAGCGGTAATCGTCTCGCCTTTGAATATTGTACGTCTCCGTGTTGAAAGCAAAATTCGTATTTCGGTTTTTTGTGCTAGCCGTTTCTACCATGAGTGCAGTGCGCCAGGGTGTTTTGATTAACACTGCTTTTCTAAGACAAGAATTAAGGAAATGAAAAGAAAAAAAATTTTGGGTTAAGAAATGTTATAAAATTAAAAAAAAAATTTCAAAAATGTATATTCTATACAGTGCAATGAACTTAATATTATCAGCATTTCCAAATTTAAATGATTTTTGCGTCATTTGGATATATTAATAGTCAATACCGAAGTAATCACTGAACTCGAATATCAATTCTCGCACTCAAAACGGTTCGAACCGATTTGTACGATAATCGTATGAACTTGAAAAATGTCATACGAGATCGTGTAACAAGTCGAAAACTCGTAGGCAAGAATCTCCTTACTACATATTTATCTGTGTAAACAGTCGAGGAGGCGATTTAGTTCTATTCTATTTCCTTAATGGCGGCCACTAGGCTTGGGCCAGTGTCAGTATCGATTAATGTTGTCAGTTAATATTGTTCAATAACGTCAACGTTTCCGTAACATGCTTGCGAATCTCATAATGAGATTATAATATTTTAGATCTTGCCTGAATGTAAACATTATGATACGATAATCTTATGGCGATTATTGCTTACGATAATCGCGCACGACTTTTCATCACGAAGCGTGCGATACACTTTCTTCATCTAAATGGACCTTTAACCATTACCGCCATCATCAGCGTATGCTCTGACCTTCAGCGATAAGGAATTCGAAGTCCGGGTTGATTTCAGTAGGCTTGATTTGCTGCGCTGCTTTCCTCACCAGGTCCAGTACTTCCTCCACGGCCTCCTCCACCATAAGACTCTTGCGGTTTAACTCCACACAGGCGTTGCTGTAAGAGTAAAAACAATTTAATTTATAACAGTTAAATGACTGTTATGATACATGTTTATTCCATTCAAAGTAGTACCAACAACTTTCGTTATAAAGACTGAATTTTATTTATATGAATTTTGTTTTTCTTCTTTCTAATACTAACGAGATATTAACAAAGCTGCGCAACACGTTGTAGCGACTAAGCTCTTATGGATGCCTTCCAATGACGTCATTATCCACCAAAAACATGAACAGAACGAAATACGACAGTACACATATTTTGTCTCGAGTGCTTACTTATATCTGTTTTAGATTTTTTTAAAGAAAATTGTGAAATAGTTTCTGTGAAATGAATTGTTTTTGCGTACCGGCAACCACTCTCAACGTTTTCCAGAAAATCTTCCATAGACCACGGAGTTTCTTCTGTAAGAATTTATCAGAACAACCAATTACCATTACTTAATTTTCTTGTCTTGCTGCACATAAGTACTCATTATTTATTATAAAGCCATGTACCTGGCAAAGTAATCAATGAAATATATTGCATTCCATTTAGCATATAGATGATCCTATTTGTATATATGTCATGAACTCTAGTGACCAGGACATCAAAGCTCTTGATAGCTAAATTCGCTTTCTCAATGAATTCTTTCCACTCTTCGCTGGTCCATGTCACGGAGCGCAGCGCGGGGAGCAGGAGGGACGATAAACGAACTACTTGCGGTAGAAAGAGAGGGCGAACTTCTAGTTTAACTCGACGAACTGTGCGAAGATAGTCCTCCAGTAGAAACTGAAAAAACGTACTGAGGGTTGAATGTGCTTGCATTTGTTCGCTAGAAATGTCAGGTCGACAGTTGTTATACACAGCTAACTAGCTGATGCCTGCGACTTTGTACGTTAGTTAGCTACAGGAAAATAAATAATTATGATATTTTTATTAAAAAAATTCGACCAAAATTGGTTTATCCGTTTTCGCTGCGTTTTGTTTTCATTCGAATTTCATCTATGTACCAAGTTTTATTGAAATCGGTTAACGGAAAGTGGGCGAAACAAGATTCATATGCTAATTTGAGAGGTAGAAGATTTATTATTAGTCTTTTTTATTTATAATCTCAGTACAGAGTACTAAGAAAAAGGACCTCAAAAGTATGTGGAATTACGTCTATTTGCCAAGTTTAATTGAAACACCCCCTAGTTCGCCACTATATGGGACTTGCCACAGGAGATAATAAAAATCGGTTCTCTCTACTCAAAATACATTGAGCGAGAAAAATGCCTTTAATTGGAGAACAGCAAAATCAACCATTAAAATAATTGCTCCTTATAATAAAATTTAGGCGCTATTTATAAAAATGAATCTTCATGCGTGAACAGCCACCCTTAGAGGTGGATGATTTTCTTCAAAATGAAATGGGACCACTATGGATGTACCCTCTTTCCAACAAAAAAGAATCATGAAAATCGGTTCACAAATACCGGAGTTGTCGTGTAACATACATATATACAAAAAAAAAACATAGTCGAATTGAGAACCTCCTCCTTTTTTGAAGTCGGTTAAAACAAAAGAATATGTTAGGTCTGGGGACTCACCTGCAAGGAATCGTTGACAAGAGTGAAGTAGTTTTTCTTCGCATAAAGCGAATGGCAAACGATGGGCAATGGGACGTCCATTTTAACCAGGCAATCGGATTCCCGGATTAGCAAACGCACAGTGTGGTCCAGGTTGACCACAATACGACCATTACCGTCGATTCGCAGCAATGTGTTGTTCAGGCTGTCATCTACGTCCCATAGCTGTTAGAATAATAAAAAAACAATATGTAATGCGTTACATACTAAACAACATGTAATGCGTTACATACTAAACAACATGTAATGCGTTACATACTACATAGTTCAGGGGTGGAAGTATTGTCACCTCCCCAAATATTGTTGTACAAAAACTGTTTAGTAATAACTTTTTGTCATGTAATGTGTTTCTATTTTATGTACAATAATAATAACGCACACACTCAACATAGCCCCACACTAGGGAAACCCTGTGTCGCGGGTGCTTTGGACACACACATAGACAACCACAAACTACACCCAAGCTCACGAGAGATATAAATGTAGGCCATACAAACATTTCTCCCGACTCGGGAATCGAACCTGGGATCTCTGCGTGGCAGTTCGGCATGGTAACCGTTCGGCCACGTAGGCTGTTAAAAATAAATTATCATTGTTATATTCTGAACGTTGCGGAAGAAAAAGCCATTTTGTATCATAATATAAGTTATTCATGTAGTTAAATTGGTATAGTTCAAGATTTCTCAAAACAGAATACAAACATTCACTTACAATGAGAGCTTATAAAAATGAACGAGTTACAAAGTTTACCCATTCTATTCACTTACGTCGGTGGTTGGTTATACATTAAGGTACAAACAAATCAGAACTTTTTCTCATTCGCACAATACTGTTAGGTTGGCTTTAAAAATTAAATATTGAATTAATTATGCTAGACAATGGTCTTTTTAATTCAATTGGTTAAACTTTCATGCGCCTTCGATATGTCTACCGTAAGTATTGTAATTCGTCATAAATATGTTAGAGTCTTAGAAGTTGAATGTATCGGAAGAAAGGTAATTAGCATCTGCAAATATAGATTATAGATTTTACCCAAATACACAGGCTTTTAAGGTAGTGACACTACAACTAGTGACAGAACAAACAGACTTGGTTTTTGTTACAGTCAAATAATTTTCGACAATAATAACGAAAGTTCATTAGCTCAGTTGGTTAGAGCGTCGCGTCGTGCTAGTAAAGCGAATGTCGCGGGTTCGATGAGCCTACATGAGCCGTTTGCCATTTGTGTTTTGTTATGTGCGTAATTTCACTTTTTATCTTTCTTTTATACTCACCTCTTTAAACTTGACAAACTGCCACGCACTAAATATAAACTGATTGATATTGATAAATTGCACGAGTAGAGAGTCACTATCTTAAATACCTGTGGGTTTGAGTCAGGAGATTTATTTGTATTTGTATATATCTGCGGCATTCAGCAGATGTTAATATACCTCTCTGGAGATACATCAAGTCTCAACTCTAGTGTAATAATGTTGGAAATGAAAGTATGTCTCAGGTGACTGTAGCATTTGTAAGGAGCCCGAAACATCGGTTTGCTTGAAAAAAGCAAATATATTAGATCCGAAAACTTTGTTTTATTTCCAAAAATGTAGTAATCGCCATCATAAACTTGCCATCTAATAATTCAAATATAGAACGTCATTGCGTCCATTAATCAAATAATACCTTATTCTATACAGTTAAGTTAATTTTTTTAATGAACTGGCGAACTAAGGCGCGAGAAAGTCATCAATCAAAACTTTGAAAAGGTTTATAACGTAATGTGTAATCTGTTTCTTTTTATAAAAAAAACAATAGTCAATTTATTATTATTATTACTTATGCACCAAATAATAAAAACAATTTGAGTTTAAAATGTTTGAGCAATACGAAGCCGCCCTCTATCTGAACTCGCATGTACTACGAAATAAGCTACATTGCTACGTTGCTACGAACGTGAAGGCAAGGTTGAACCTTTTTCTAGTCCAGTTTTCTTTCACCACGTTGAAATAATCACTTCAATGCTGGTTTAGGCGGTATTAAAAAAGTTAAGTATCAGATTAAAATCAATTTAAAAAACATTTCTAGTCCGTACAGACAAAAGAATATTTAATATATACGAGTATATAGTATAGGCATGGGAGTGCTTTGGATTGATTTTCATCCCATTCACGTTCCGAAAGCGCACTCCAAATTTTCACTGTCTGTAATATGGGCCCATTAGCTCAGTTGGTTAGAGCGTCGTGCTAATAACGCGAAGGTCGCGGGTTCGATCCCCTCATGGGCCATTCCTTACTTTTGTTTTTATTAAAACGTTAACATGCAAACCTTTCGTGGTTTGTGATTAACTTTATTTTTTAACTTTAATAAAATGTGTATGCAGTATAGGTGCGAATCAAAGACAAGAAAGCTATTCTACGTTAATACATATTCCACTGTCGTTACAGTGAAAGCTAAGTCGGAGCTAAGTTTGATCGTTTTTTATAAATAAAAAGGTTGTGTTATCCGAAAACCGGTAATAGGTGTGGTTATCTTCTTGACTTTTTGCGAGTGCTACATATTAGAAATGGAAATGCGTTTCCGGATCTAACTCGAGTACTTCCATATGTTCTTTATAAAAACCAATGTTGCAACCTCTTTGCGTGTCACCTGGGACATAGTTTCATTTCAGAGAGCGCGACGTCAAGTGAGCGTGCCCATAGCTCCGGTACCTATTTGGGAAATAATAGGGTGCTGTACGTGCACCTAGGGCGGCTCACCTAAGGTACTAGCCTTACAGTGTAGTTTAAGTCCATGAAAACGGGTGATCTGGGGACCAGACTTAGATGGTCTGTATGCGGGCTTGCTCGCACAGATCATAGCGTTCTTTTCGTGTACCTTAAAGGTCGGTAGGGAGCATAGATATAGAAAAAAAAGGGGAGATATGGTATGGGGGCGTGGTTCGAGTCGCCTCATTTGATGGTCATTTTGACCATCAAAATGACCGTATCGATGTGACACGCCTTCAAACATCGCCACAGTGACATGGCGATCGTTGTACATACAAGATCTCTCGTAAAACGTGAAAATGCCAAGTTGTAGCGATACACCTTGTAAAAATTGGAGTGAAAACAAAAATTTTAAAACCAGTGAGATAACATTCCACCAGCTATTTGTATTCCAGCAACTATTTCTATTATTATTCAATGTTTTCTTTTTGTCTCCATAGAAATTAGACTCAAATTAGTGATGTTCATTTACGAAGACTGATGTTTATCGACAAAATTTTTATTGAAATGTCTAAAATATCTAAGCGGAAAGCATTCACGTTAAATTGATTTCTTTAGTAATATAATTCTAGATTAATAATATTATTATTATTACTAAACATTTTATTTCGAGTAACTTTAACACAACTCATATATCGGACAACTGTTTCAATTTCATGTCAATTTGGATGTTGCTGTTGCTTGAAGAATAATTTATGTGTTTCAGATATTTAAAATATTTAAATTCCATTATACTCGTACATTAAGCGTAGAGTATTTTTAATTATTAAGTTTTGATGTGAGTTCAAAATAAAATAAGGTTTGATTGAAGCTGCAGGAAAATCGAAAGATTGGTTTTCTTATTACTATTTCTGACTTTGTTTCAATTTCCATAGCAGATGCATTTAAAAAATAAATAAAATAAAATCGGCTTTATTTTACTTGTGCATGCAAAATAAATTAGAAACAATTATAGAAAATTACATAAATCCTTCATAAAAAAACAACATAACTTAATTTATGAAATTCGTTGATGGTTCGAGTTTACTCTTGACAGTGACAGCTTCACCAACCTGTGGTAACATTTAATGGAAAATTGACACTGACGACGATCGCCATATTTTTTATATCATTCTTATAAAACTGACACTGATCCAAGCCTAGTGGCCGCCATTAAGAAAATAATAATAATTTATATTAATATATTAATTTAATAATACACCAGTACCAGTGTAGATATAGTATGAAAAACGGAATATTTTTTTTTATATTAAAAACAGCCACATTTTTTCCAACTATCGATTAGGTAGGACCACATCACTCGTTGAGTAGCGTCAGTTTAAGGTTAATAAGGTTAACAATTCACGGAGCGGTTTCCATCCGCGCCTGCCGGTGCTGCTAGACAGCGGTTTTGTTTCTATACTCCCGACCCTGCAACTTTGTGCGGACACGTAGCTGCCAAAGTGTGCGGGCGACGACGGCCGCCAAGCGCGCAGGTCATCGCGTCCTGCGCGGCTACTAGTACCCAGCCGCAACAATCGCGAACAACCGTCACCACTACAGGCGTAAAACGCGCCGTGAAATGTGCTACTAATTTTACATACTTAACTGTTACATTCTACAGATGCCGCGGACCCGCGGCAGACGCGGGTGATAACCGCTCAGTGAGTTCTTAGTGTAACGAAAAACGAGTTTCAGCGCCATCTAACGTGTAATAGTTAGCTATTATATACTAGAAGTATTTTCACTAAAACGCCACCTATTGGTGAATGGCTGAACCAGGATGAAAAAATACTGACATATTGTAATATAACTCTTATTCAGGTGACAGTAAGTTTAATTTTGTTAAATTTTAAAATTGTTTTACGTTGTTTTCACATTTAAAGCCCTACGCAATCAAAATCTTTAAGTTATGGTATAAATGTAAGTCAATGGTTATGGTAGTAGATAATAGTGCGTAAAGTTTGAATTGCACACAAGCTAAAAAGTGGCGACATCGGCACCCGATCTTACATAGCGTCATTACATATCTCTCCTTTTTTTCTATATTTATGGTAAGGAGAGTCACTATAATCAAAACTAATGTATGGGATGACCAGATGCGTCCTACACACAGATCACGTGGTCCTACATATTGGAAATGAAAATGTGATTTCGAATCTTACATGTATACATGTTCTTTATACAAACCAATGTTGCAGACTCATTACAAATCCCATGGTCAATTGGGATATGACTTCATTTCCAACGTCATTATTATTATTAAAATACATGAGTTTTAGGGGTTGATGTACCCAAAAAGCAGTATATTAGCATCTTAAGATGGTGCATATACGTATAAATATTAATACGAACGTTCAACGATCTCCCACAGGAAGTGGCGTAAATATTGAATGAACTGGTTTTTATCCAGATGTAGCTAACAAGCTCAATTTCCAATTCTACTGACAAAACTCAGAATGCAATAAATGGAAATTAGCAGAAAATTACAAAATTAAGTCGTAGATTGCAGAAATGCTTAGACTATGGAAACTAAAGGACATGTTATGTTGACAAATATAAATCAGACGTTATATGTATATGATGCATTCCGAAATTGAAAACATAAACATGTTATTGTCTTTGTTTAACTCTTGCGTGCCGTCTTAAGTCAAAAGAGATAAAATTACATTGGTCTGTGTCAAACACGGGAATCGAAAATACGTAACGTCATCTTAAATGCCAACCGTGTCCATTTCGCAGTACATGAGGTACATGATACGGTTGTCAAAGGGAAGTACATCAAATGTCAAAACAAATGTTTTTACAAGTGTTTTATTGAATTATTCCCATGTATTGTAATAAAATGGGTAAAATATTGACAGTGAGAACAATTAAGTATTAATAAAAATTCGTCGCTGCAGCATGACGGGATGTAGAAGATCGACCGAATGTAACATTGTACAGGGACGTGTTATTTTTCTGTCTAATCACACAAAAGCCCCAATATCTCATGTAATTTAAGTAGTTTATTCATAAATCTTGCCTAATTTTGCTTTGGTTTCTTCAGATTGCCTGTTTGTTTGTATATTTTGATGATTGTTGTTAACGATTATTTTGAGATAGTGTTGTTCTTGGAAGCGTACATATTATCAATATTCTGTTATTAAAATAATTCACTACGAGGTTTTTATTATTTTTACAATTTCAAGTTTACCTACAAATCAAAAAAGACAATAGAATGGTTGGAATTCATACATTGAATCAAAGACCATCTTCATTTATTCGCTTCATTTTGAAGAGTCAAATTTTAACATAACTTTGAATGTAACTAGATTACATGATAATGCAATTCCATTATTAGGTGTATTGGTAAATAATTTTATATTTAATTGAGATTAAACACGGCTCATTTACTAGGCATTCTCAGTTCCTGAAAACAAAATTATCCACTCGTTTCCGATTTTATCCCACTGACAACTCTAACTACTAAAAATTATTATTTTAGAAAGTCAGCAAAACAAAGACCATGTTGGTGTAACGTTGCCGCGTGAAGGCCAATAGCAACGTATAGACAGCCTATTTGCCTTGCCTTGCCATCGTTCGGTGTCATTCGCTTAGCTGACCGAGTGAAGGCGAGCGCTAACGTGTATAGAGCTCGGTTGACGTGGCTTGTCACAACTCCTAGTCGCTCGTGACTACTTGTCTCACTTCGGAGAAGTGTAGATTTTTGTGCACAAATCTAAGGCGCTCGGCCAATAGTAGTCAATTGAAATCGTGTAATCAGACATTTGCATGCTATTTAATATATGCGAAACATGTTTATAATAACCAACTCTTGTTACATCTCCTGTTATACCATTTTTTAAACAAATAAACGTATGATAATAACATTATTATTGATAATATTACTACTTTCATTTCTTTCCAAAATTAAATGGAAATATTAAAGATTCACTTAAATCAGTCACTTATATTAACTCTATACTAATGCATATATACAAAAAAGCATTAAATGGAATCTGTTTGAAAATTTCTCTATGAAAATAAGAACCTTTACATATTAGGTTAGATACATAAGATTACATAGAGGTTGTAAATGTATAGGATTTATATTTTAAAGTTTTCTCTTTTTTATATACTCTCAAATTACAAATAATATTTTTTCTGTGCAAATTCACTTTTCGTAATATTTGAGTATTTGTAAACGCAAAACAATAAATTCAAAATTTCATGTGACATTCCCGGATATTCTTATAATAACCTAAAATATTCCCAAATGGAATATTGATCTACTTTAATTAAATGTTGGAATGTCGATAATGACTTATCGATAGATTATGGTACGCACTAAAGAAATCAGCCATTTGTTCGTTCTATTTTTGTTTAGGTATGCACGTTCATTCCGTAGTTAGGGTAGCTCCTTTCTTTTATTTTTTTCCATCCTCTAAGCAGAAATGAAGCCTGAACTCACGGAATTGAGAACGCATATGTTTACGATTTTACCATGTTAGAGATGAAAAAAGAGATTGTATTTCAGAGAGCGGAAATATATAAATAATATTTACAAAATTATTAAATACATGCTGTTTCTAATATATTAAAAGACTTGAAATATATTAACGTGAGTAACATACACGATAAACATAATTTTAGCAGGAATTAGATTTTTTTAACACAAAATAAACAATATATTGAAAATCACACTTATGCACGTGATTAATACATTTTATTTTTTGATAAGTAAAGCTATAATACAAAAATAAAATTGACGTAATAAACCGCATCTAGTAGCAAGCGTAGTGTGCGAGTATATTTGTAGTTGGCTGTCGAGATCGCGTAGTTTGTTATTACATTAGACTGACCGTGAAAACGATTATACTTTTAAAAAAATGAAAAATATATTTTTGTGTTGTCATGTAAGAGAATTACTTGTAATCCTTGGATTTAGAAGAAATAAATTATTAAACGACAACGTTGGAGTACCTTTCAAAGCGTGATGTGTAAAAGAAAATGATCTTACTGCAGAATAGTGAAGTTAGTTCCTGTGTTTGTTTTTTTTATTTTACAGAAGGAAATGAGAATATTTATTTACACAAGTAACAACATTGACAGACTTAAATCATTACTTACTTACACCGATTGTAAATTTACATGGGTGCGACTAGGTGCTACAGGTCTGGTGGGGCTGTAATCTATAAGTTTTTTTATCTTAAAGTCAATGTCAGTAAGGTATAACAAAAAGTGATCAGATATATTTATCGAACGTGGTAGTTTATCGAGTTCAACGAGGTAGGTATAAAAATATTAGTACATACGTAACTAAAAACAGGTCAGTAAGTGAGATTAAAATAAAAAATAGCAAACGTTAAGTCTAACTCAAGCACACAGGGTTTTAAGACGGTGGCACTAGTCAAGTTATTCGCCTGTTAGCACGCTTATACAACGAAGACTTAAACTTTCAGTCAAGCGAGTTTAAAATAAAAAAAATCGGATAGCCTTGCCGTATGGCACATGAGGGAATCGAACCCACGACCTTCGTGTTATTAACACGACGCTCTTACCACTGAGCTAATGAGCCTGTGATGAACTTGGTGAATATTAGTTACGCTTTGGTGAAGTGTGTACGAAGGCAACACCCTAATATGCCTGTTATGGTACAGAAAATAAATCGTTTTTTACTTGCACGGCGCAAGGTACAAACGACGTTTCTTCACTAGGCTATCAAAATCAGCACCCGTTAGAGCAAAAGGGACAAGCTCTTATTGTTGCACTTGCTTACGCATCATTATGCAGACATACGAATGTTCAACAATCTCCCACTGGAAATGGTCTAAATATTGATTGAATTGGTTTTTTATCCAGATATAGCTAACACAAGCTCAATTTCCGATTCTACTGACAAAACGCAGAACGCAATAAACGGATATTAGCAGAGAATGACAAAATGAAGTCAGAGATTGTTGAAATTAAACCTGATCTCACGAAATGGAGTAAGAATGTTTCCGATGTAATAAAAAAAATGAGGGCACACCCTACATCAAATAATACCGTGCATATAGAGAATTTTAATATCCTATACAGAGTTATATCAGTTATAAATAGATATGTTAACAACATAAAATAAAAACTAACTTCCGAATTAGATAATTTGAGGAAAGAAATAAGTAACAAGTGTACAGGATTTTAGAAACACCACAGAAATCAATAGAGACGATACAATCTACATTGAAAAAAATTGCAGTGTTCTTTGTCGACTGTTCTACGCGTACAGGAAAAATTAGTTACTGAAATTAGCGAACGTGACCTAAGACGCAAGAATATTATTACTGATCGATTGTCCTGAACGTAGTTTTTATGACCTCTCAAGCCAGCGTTAAAATGCTAGTTTGAACACAACTCAGGGAGAAACCAGATTAGACTAAGGCTCAATCTTGCTTGCACATTCGTAGCAGCGTAGTTGAGTTCGTAGTACGCGCGAGCACGGGCAGATGGCGCTGTAGTATTGCTCGAAACTTTTTTTAAATGCCATCATTTATTTTAGTAATTTGCACACTACTTTTTGCAACCGTGCAAGTGTGTCGCAGCCCTAGTGTTAGCGTAAATAATCAACAAATTTAAATATTAAATAATTCATACACAAAAATAGGTTATACCAATGAGTGCAAGAATTTTCAAGGTTCATTATAATTTTCTAATCATTAGTTCGCTACTGCAATAAAAAATACACCTAACTTTTTCGATACAAGGTAGTATTTGATAACGATGACGAAATAACGTTCTATTTATAAATTGACTAACTAAATAACAAAAATAAAAAAACAGTGAGTGTTAAGTGGCACACGAGGGGATCGAACCCGAGACCTTAGCGTTATGTTTTCGATACTTATTCGTAACGAATAGTCAATAAATCAATTTTTGACCTTTATGGCGCAAGGTACAAACGACTCTGCTCCACGAAGTTTCCAACGTCAGCAACCCTCAGATTAAAAGAGACAGGCTTTTACTTTTAGCCTCACTCATGTGTACACGTATACAATGATATTATACTTTGTGCACGTTTAGATTAATATGAGCGATCAACCATCTTCCACTGAATGTGGCATAAATAGGTCACTTGTTCTAGAAACAAAACGTTTTTCTATATTACGATACCCTTACTCTTTTTTAGAGGTTGTTGTGGTTGGAGAAGACCCTGAAACTCTTGATTATTTATTCTGTATTTAAAATATCCAAATCACGTTAGAAGCAAATTTGAAGCATCACGCCTTAAAAAGTTCCCAGACAACTTATTACTTACAGTTTTTGCTGTGCGAATCTTGCCAGCGAATTGCTCCGGACCCTACTCCTATAATATAGAGTAAACATATCGTCGGTGTTTTGTAAAAAGGGAGAAAGCGCCCTGTCGAAACAAAATTGGGGAGCATGTCTTAGGTCTTAACGACTATTTTAAAATATGTACGTCCTGTTTTAAATTTCAGTTTCAAATATTTTGAAACGGTTGTGAAAAAGTAAAACATTTTTCGAAATGGCCCACTCGAAATGGCTCATTCTACAAAACATCGACGATATATAGATGACCGTTGGAGCATCATTCTATGATTAATATATAATTTTTTGCAGAAATAAATCATAATAGCTTAGGAATTCGAGGAGTATACTCCCTTGTTTCGCTCATAAATTTTGTAACATTTTATTTGTTGTATGATTTTGAAAATGACTTGTTGCATGTGTACAAGGAAATATTTGACTGTAAAAAGAAGTTCGTCCCTTTAAAATATTTGAAAAGAAAAGCTATTAACAGGCTTTTGTCTACGTAGCATCAAATTAGATCTTCTGAGATTCAAATGTCTTAGGTTTTCGTAATTACTGCACATTGGAAGTGTAGCTATGTATTCAGATCTCAGTAAGTAGCAGTAGAGGTCTTTGTGAAAGAGTTCATCCAGGGAAGTACTGCCTCTTGGTATCGCAAAAAAAAATCTAACTCTATTTTCAAACAAATGAACTCTTTACAGGTCCCATTGTCACCTGAGACACTATTTCATTTCTCACATTATTATTAAAATACCTGTTTCAGGGAGTCTACCCTCATTCTACCGACATGCATCCGAAACAATTATTGTCAAATAAGTAACACCTGACCCAAGTAAAAGACAATGTCAAGTATGAAGCTTCATTCGCATCATATTACTTATTTGGGACTTGGGGTATTACTACGAGGATATCTCTCCCTTACTTCGCTCATACGTGTAGTAACATGTTTACTATAAATGAAATACTTTAAATTTATTTTAAAGACTTTCTTAATCCAAGAACAATACACTTTTCAGAACATATATTGGCTTTAAGAGCATTCAGGTAAAGCTGGGAAATTGTTTGGATAAGTACTACAGTTGAGGCTAGAATTTTTCTGTTTGTTTTGTGAGGTTTAGGGCTGATCGGCTAAACTTACAGCGCGTGGCAGTTTATCGAGCTCAAAGATATGTACAAAAATTAACGGTACACACATTTTAATAACAAAAAGATAATGTGACATGGCTCATGAGGGGATCGAACCCGCGACCTTCGCGTTATTAGCACGACGCTCTAACCAACTGAGCTAATGAGCCTATGATGCAGTAAGTGAATACTAGGGTATGCTTTGGTGAAGTGTGTACGAAGGCGATGCTCTACTACCTGGCGACGCTAACAAAATTTTTGCAATGTTATTATTCTATTTTAATTTTATAAACTGGTATTTTATTTTTCCATTATGCCTTTAGCCAACGATGAACATTTCTTTTGAATGCCGCTGTGGAAACACCACGACAGAAACGGGTTCAATCCCTTTCACAGTCGTAGCAACGTAGATTACTTCGTAGTACTTGCGAGTACAGATAGAGGGCGGCGTCGTATTACTCGAACATTTCAAAGCCGAATAATTATTTTTGGCTTGAGGTGCATCAGTAGCGCTAGTAATAAGTTTATTTATTTTGTTTAGAAGGCTACACTATTAGGTGAAAACATTTTCAAAGAAATTCGTACTGCAATTAAAAATTCACTGTAACAGTTAAAATATAAGGCGATGTTCGGCTAAGATTACGCAGTGGCACCATTGACTTACAAATAAATGGACGACGGGTCTAATACAAAACCACGAAAAAAATGTCCCAAGTCAACCTATTTAAACGTAGTGACATGTAAAGGAATATGAAAAAGCTAAAACGTTGAATTTAAATTCTAATGTCATCGCAGTACTGTCTAATTTTGCTTGCTTCGCTGTCAGTCGAACAAACGAAGACTAAAGCATGAATGACGCTCTGTATACGATTTTACCGCCCTATAAGTTCGGATACTTTTTAGCGCGGACCCGACGTCTATATAATTGTAAGTCAATGAGTGGCACTGTAAATTTAAACAAGTACGTACAGTTCGTAAATAGTGATTATAAAAAGTTTTCATGCAATGAACAATAATGACTACTTACATTCTGATTCATCCAGACGGCTCTCATGGTCTCTTCGTATGTTTCAATCAACTGTTTGGTGTTGGAGTACTTCCGCATCATGTCGCCGGCAGCTGGTAAGTTACGTAACACGGGATGTGCGCACACGCTTTCCACTGTCTCGGTCATGTTGTGCATTAGACAGCGAGACCATTTTATGCGCCCTGGGAAAACAAGAAAAGTCTGACGACCAAAAAATCATTGCTGACGAACGTACAGAACCACCATTAATATGAGTAAACAAAATGAATGAATGAATGAATGAAATGAATGCGAATGAACATAGACTTTCAAATTCTCATGGGTATTCACAAATGATGATCAACTACCGAAAGAGAGTACATAGATATTTCTGTTCTTAAAGCGATAAACAAAAAGCTCTTAAGCGTTTTGCATAATAAAACGTTTCATCGTGGTAATCAATAGTCGGAATAGGGTGTTCCAAATGAGTAGATACATGTCTGTATATAGGTACAAGGCGTGATATAAAATGGTAAAAACCACCAAATGTTAATCAACTCTGATTTTGAACTCAGGATTTTCGAAAACAGTTTTACTACATCATAGGATAAAACTGTTCACTTAGAAAGCTTAAGTTGGATTTTTGCTTGTAGCTCATAAAAAAATATTCCCTTTGGTGAAAAGTTTTTTTTTAATTCTAATGTAAGTGTGCATTTGACCTCCATCTCACCTGATGGAAAGTGACGATGAGGTCGACGATGGAGCATGCACACCTACATAATGCCTATTCACTCTCGCCTTGAAAATGTTCAAGTTATAACGTTCAGGGAACAAGTCTGCAGGCAGGGAATTCCACTTCAAAGCCGTTCGCCATATAAATGTGGAAGCGTAACGCTTCGTGCGAATCTTTGGAATATCCACAACATAGGGGCGGAACCCAAGCCTACGCCTAGTGCCCCGATGATGGAAAGGGGAAGGCGGAATTAAATCGTGTAATTCCATCGCACACTCTCCGTGATATATCCTGTAAAATACCGATAAGCAGGCAACTTTACGGCTATGTTCAAGGCTCTGCAGCTTCGCCTCTACTAATTCCGAGTCACCTATAAGGCTCTTGACACGCTTGTCAATTGAATCCAACGTGGCCAGTTGATATGTAGCAGACCCATCCCAAAGGTGGCAGCAGTACTCCATACACGATCGGACGGTGCGTGATTATAACTGAAGCAACTGTCCCGGTGTGAAATAACGCCTCACCCTGGAAAGGATGCCAAGCTTCTAGGCTGCATTTTTGGCTATGGATTCAATGTATCTGCCGAAGTTCAGATTGGACGATAGGTCCATTCCAAGTAGCTGGAGACGGTCGGCTATTGATATGGATATATCACGAAAAGTCGGAGTCAGCTCAAAGGGACTCCGTTTAGTGGAGAACAGACACGCCTGCGTTTTGGTAGCGTTAAATCTAAACGGCTATCCATGGACTCTCGACAAGACGGGATTTCATCTCCTGTGATCCTTGCATTGGTCAAGTACCTATCCACAACTGTACTGTCACAGCATACGCAAAGGTACCTGGAATCAACATATCATTGATATGCAACAGAAAGAGAGTTGCAGACAGTACGGAGCCCTGAGGAACTCCGCCTCTATCTATCTATCGCCCGTTGTTCGGAAGAGAAGCCTTCTAAGACCACTCGAATGGAACGTTCACTCAAGAAATCCGTTACTTATCTTCTGTGTTTTACAAGGCGCTACTAGAATTACTTTAAAATCTAACGTGTACTTCCTAGGTGAGTACTTTTATCTCAATGTGGAGTAAAACTATTTTACGAAATCCGGAATTCGAAAAAGTTAGTAATTAATATTTGGTGGTCAAAGTCAAAGTCCTGCTGCTGACCTTCCTGAAATGAACGAGCAAGAAACACTAGGGATAGCTTTTTTCAAATAAACTTGAATGCATTTTGAATTATAATTGTGTGGAATCTAGACCCATGTTGTCTTTCCATACATCTGTATCTAACACATACTCTTCAATTTTGTAATATGACTTTTCAATTAAAATACTTTTAGTGTAAATTTTAAACCACTCTATGCATTCCTTTTACACCCTATTCCGAACATTAGTGGTAACAAATCTGTAACTAGTGAAAATAAAATTATTTCTTAAAAAAACCTATTAATCACTTGATTGTGTATATATCCCGAATTATTTAAATACACACACATTGCAAATTTTGTCGTGTTCCTGGGGTTTTGATAATTTCATGTAAATTAACCTTTTCAACTTGATAAAACATTGATGCGTGACGAAACATAATGTTTCAAACTAAACTGTCATCTCCCAAATAACGATATCTCACCAGCTACCGGAGAGTAGTTCCTGGGCAAAGGAGGATCTTCCCTCTGTTTCTTGAACATTTTCGTGATCTTATCCACTTCTTTTTCGCAGTATTTCAGGACACGATCGTATTTCTCGTTTAGTTTTGTTATTTGGATCTTTTCACTAACCTGCAACAGTAATTAACCTCAGACCTCGTGTCAGTTTTAGGAACACTTACTGACTTAATTTTAAACGAGAGCGGCCGATTGGTCTTTAGCAAGGACAGTTATTTTTATCATCATCATCATTTCAGCCAAAAGATATCCACTGCTGAATATAGGCTTCCCCCAAAAAATGCCACAACGACCTGTCCTGCGCCACTTGCATCCAGCGGATTACCGCAGCCTTCACCAGGTCATCAGTCCACCTCGTGTGTGGTCTGCCCACGGTGCGCCTTCCGGTACGTAGTCGCCATTCGAGAACTCTTCAGCTCCATCGGCCATCTGTCCTGCGAGCAATGTACCCTGCCCACTGCGTCTTAAGTTTTGCAATTCTTTGGGCAATGTCGGTTACTCTGGTTCCCTTCCGCATATCCTCATTACTGATTCGATTTCACAACGAAACTCCGAACGTAGCCCTTTGAGCAATCTTGAGAATTCTTATGGGGTTTCAGTTCTTTTTGCGAATTTAAATTTATTTGACAAACATAGATATTTGGCAAATGCTATTCGTTGTGAAATGTGGACAGCCGTTTTTTGGGAGATTCTGTTTGTGCCAGTGAAGAGCAGTGGAAAATATCATACACGATATTTATCTCAATAACATTATAAAATACAAAATCACTGATACCTTTTCAAATCTGGTCAAAAATTTAATCCCCTGAGGAGTTTCCCAAACGCTAGAGAAATTAGCTTCTATAGTGTTCCCGATTGTCTCTTTCAACGTATTTGTTTTCTCTTCAAAGATCTGATAGTCTTGATCAAATTCATTGTTGCGATAGTCAAGATAATCATACTGGCATGTTATAACCGCTTTTTTTGCTTCGTCAAACGTATGAATTGCTTCCTCCAAGTCTGTAACGAAAATTTCACATTTCACAGGTCCACAGCCCTATCGAGTGCAGAAGCAACAACATTTTACTCAAAATTATCACTTACACGCGAACCTATAGGGCTAGCAGGACAGAGCGCGACTTGCGCGAGAGCGACGTGGACGCGAGAAATATTGTCAAGCGCAGGCCACACCGGCTACCATATTATTATATCTATTCCTACTTCGATTCACACCGCGAACTAAGCTAACCGAGCTAATTAAACTAAGACAACTGTCCCGCTAAACTATGTAAAATATGTCGCCCTTCTGCCGTCCTTCTGTCGCACGTATCCAAAGTGTGTGTAGCACGAATTGACCCAGTAGCACGTCACTACGTATTTTCTTATCTTTGCATGCAACTACGTGTGCTAAGTTAGCTTAGGTTCGTTCGCGCTGTGGCCTGCGCTTTATTATCTATTAGAGAATAGCAGTATCTGGCGCTTTATGTCACTCTCGCGCAAGTAGCGCCCTGTTGTGCTAGGACTACTGAACCGCAGTTCTCCTTTCCACTTTTGCGGTCCTTATAAATTCGCTCGTCAGTGTAACTTAATAAAGCACAAATGTAACGTCGCCTACCTTCTCCAAGCAACAGCCCTTCCATTCTCTTTGCAAATAGATGATTATAATCGTCCATCAAGTCGAACATCGCTATAATTTTGTGCAGTCTCTTGCAAAACGTGTCGAACTTCCCAAACACGTAATTTTCAGAAAAATTAAACTGCTCAGTGTTCGGCAAAAATGGTTGGTTTTTAACAAAAAGATATGTTTCTCTGTACGTCTTATTCAAGTTGATACAGTGAGTCAGTCTATCGCGAACTAAAGACCTCTCTTGCGACCAGATTGTCTCTTTGAAACGACACGTTATGTACTGTTTGCACGTTTCTATCATTTGATTCGTTATCTGCAAAAGAAGAAATGAAGCGATCCGACACCTTTATAAACAATTACCGGATAAAGGAACTGAAATCTCTTGTATTTCTTGATATATTATAATCTAAAAGTTAACACAATAGAGCATAACTTCATTAACAACTCAATTTTTAAGTTTCTTTAGCAGGAAGGTCATATTTGTTATTCATATCTCAGTTATTTGTCAAAACACAAGCTGTGTAGAAGTTAAATATATAACAAAATACAAACACGTAGAAGGCATATTGTATATTTTCTCACGTGCACTTGAGCAGCTTGGTGTATACTGTTTTTTTAATAACATCAAATGATTAATATAAATAAGTCAGTCGATAATTTAAAGGTGATAGTAATTTAGAATAATAATAATAATAATAATTTATTTCAGGCAATTTGGCCCATATTTGTTCGTTAGATTAATTTAACTTAACTTTAAATTTAACTGCCTCTGTGGTCCACCGATTACCATGCCGTACTGCCACGCAGAGGTTCCAGCCTCGGGGTCGGGAGAAATATTTGTATGGCCTACATTTATTTCTCTCGTAGTTGGGTGTAATTTGTGGTTGACTATGTGTGTGTTCATGGCACTCGCGACACAGGGTTTCTCTAGAGCGGGGCTATGTTGAGTGTGTGCGTTATTATTATTATTAATTACAATAAACTGGTGAAAACATTTTGTAAATTAAAGATAAAAGTTGAATTTAAAAAATGAAATAATAATGGACGTCGAGTTGCGGATACCAGCCCGTTACACAAAGTACCAAGTAATAATACAAATAAAATAACTAAAATGAAATATTATAAACAAAATTAAAATTCAAAGCATTAATAAAGAAATAAAAATAACTATGTTACCTACTTAATAAAGCGGGATGCACTGGCATGCAGCTGCAACCACCTGCACCGACCACAGTGCAGAATTTAAGTGAATAGGCATTTTTTTGACTATCCAAGGAAATATAACACTCATACTCATATGTTCATAAATTATAAATGTTTGTAAGTTCCCTCACAAAACGACTACATATAGTTGTAAAATTTATTTATTATTATAAATTGTACTTATCGCATACCGATTTCAACAGTGACACAATTTAAAAATGGCAAACGTGTCAAGTGAAAAAGTAACGGTTATGTTTTTGAATAAACACCTACCGATTTGAATAATACCGTTCAGTTATAAAAAGTAATAATTTAGTGTTAACTTCAGACTAAGTATAATGTAGCCACATCTTTTTTTCACCGAAACGTCGACGGATTTCTGCATACGCACTTAACAAAACCTAGAAATTATATTTTTTTAATTGTGACGCTGTTAAACCCTATGCATTACTTATTTTACTAGCAGTGTGAAAGAATTTATTCTCAGTAACAACGCCACCTATTTCTGCTGTCACGCTGTAATGTGAACAGTACTATGTTCAGGTTATGAAGGGGGTTCTGGTGAAATTACAGGCATATGGGACTTATCAACTTATGTCTCAGGGCGATGGACCAAATGGCAGTGTCCCTCAGATTTTTGCGACTTAAAACTCTTATTACCAGGCGCACGATTTGTACGCCGACGCTTAATATAAAAAATAGTACTTTATATGGCTGTTACATAATGAAAACTGAGAGTTTATTATGCATACAAACATCTCACGAGTGTTTTAATGTCTAATTATGTACAGTTACATACACTGCTTTATCTACACACATATTATAAGCTGACGAAATGGCGGCAAATAAAAACTTTTCTCACGCATGTCACACAACCGTAGTTTTTATTTTTAGTTCATAGACAAACTAGAATCGGCTCCAACTATCATATCGTTCGATATCAAGTAACGTGGGAAATTGTCAAAATTGTTTCGAATAAAACTTCATCTCGACTGATGTTAGTATTGAGGTCCAATCAAATTGTTTTGTTTATCAGAGATGTTCGAAATTTGAATGTAATAATAACATCGAATTTGGAGTTATTACGAAACAATAATAACATTTTCACAGATAAGAAATTTGTTCTAACAATATAGTTTACTTTTATGCTGGTCGTAATATCCGGTTTTTAACACATTATAGAGAGTTGATGATATGAGTGTAGATAAAAAATATTTATACGTACTTTCACCATAAGCGAAGAAATCCTCTCGGAAGTGTTATAAAACTGTGACACACTATGTATCAATCTCACAGTCTGCAACAGGCTCAGTATTGAATCTTTTATTCTCACCGGATCGTCTAAATACAAGGAATGACAACATTTCTCCATGGCCTGTATGAATTTGGCATTGTCTTTGGCTTCGTTGTAGCAGAAAGTGATCTTATGATCTGTGTCACGCCAGAAGCGAATTACTTTAGAGTTGGCTAGCTGGAGACACGTTAGCGTGAGCTGTACTTCGTTGTCCTGTAAATTATAACTTTTGTCATTTTTATATACTTTGTTGATTTTAGGCGTTTGATGATGAAACCTCATCACGGGCTGAGTACTATAGCATGAGACGTAGCTCTGGTAGCGTAGCGGGAGCTTTATAAATATAAACTGGGATTATCTTCACTAATAGATATTTATTACGTATTTTACATATTGGCTCATGGAAGCTTCTTCTTCCTGGAGATTTTTTCCTTCTTCAGAGATTTTTCAAAAATAAAATATAAAAAACTTTCGACATCGGAATTCTTACTTAGGGCGACAGTATACCATTTTGAAGCGCCACCACCATTTATATTCAAAAAGTATCTCTCGCTACGCTACTTATATTATATAGTACTTCAGTGTTGACCAAATCTTCCCCCTCCTCTTTCCATCATCGGGAGAATAGACGTAGGCTGGAGTTCCACCCCTACGTTGCGAATATTCCAAGGATTCGCATGATGCGTCAGGATTACTTATTTATATAGCGAACGGCTATGTGCATGAATAGGCATTATTCAGGTGTGTACGCTCCATCATCGACCTCATTGTCTCTTTCCATCAAGTTAGATGGAGGTCAAATGCGCACTTAATGTTTTAACAAAAAGAAACAATTCGGAGCTGAACTGGTTAAAAAGTTTCAATTTAAAAATACATAATCATACACATAAGATAATCATTAAATTCCCTCGCCCAATACATATTCCTAACTATATCATAATCCAAACCCTAACTTTTAAAACATGCTACTATTCTAGATCACGTTTTTGCTCTTTAGGCGTGTAATGAGAAATTAGTAATACATTTCCGCGAAAGCTCTGAAAGGACGACTTACTTTTCATGCTCTCCTGGTAAATTATTCGCAGCAAAATGCGTAACTGGCTTTTTCAATATCACGATATACTTTTAACTAACCTTTTGAAGGAATGTTCTTTACGTGCGCGTATTTTTATTGAGTCAGCATTAATAAGTACGTAAGGTAAATTATTTTTCAAAAAACACTATATATAATATACAAAATCACTTGCCTGCAAGTAAGAGACGAGTTGCGAGAACTGAGCTCCACGTTTCTTCCAGTACTCAAGCTCATCCTGGGGCCCACTAGAATCCACTTCCCGGCGTAGCTGTTCGCTCTCGCTTAAAATCTACAAATAAATACAAATTATAGTACAACGATTTTCTTAATGTTTATCTCTACCTGACTTTAGTAGCTACAATAAAAATCTGACATGACCAAGAGATATTACGAAAATAATTGTACTGTACTTCAAAGTACATTGGTTGTATATACCTATACACATAAGGAAGAACACATATGAAAGTTATGATCACTTTCACGCATTCTTCAATATTGACTGGTCATCAGAATTCATCGAAATACATTACCCTCTTCCAGATTGCGCTTGCGCTTGATTGTTCAATAACGCATCCTTTTATGATCTTTTAGAATAACAAACCTGTTAATTTATAATTACAATTTCTTACAATAAATGTATCAATTAATGATTTGGGAGACGAATTTTATGTTTCTTTAATTTATACTCCCAAGTTCAAGATACCATTTTGAAATTCTGTGTTGATAAATAATAAGGCGGCAAAAAAAATATTGAAATACCTCCATCACTTTCTTGATCCATTCGTTAACCCTCTCCTCGAGCATAGTAATAGTGGTAGGGTTCTTAGTCATTTCCTTCAGTTGGATGGGGTCCTGGACGTCAGTCATCAAAATCTGTCCATCGTCGAATAGATTCACTTGGTTGCATACTTCCTCACACACTATAATTGTTGACAAATAATACACAATGAATATAATGTGGTAGAGCTCCTTGTGAAAGAGTTCTTATTAAAAGACTACTTATTACTACCTTACTTATTTTTATCGCCAAACAGTAATGTCAACATTACCGTGTTCCGGTTTCGAAAGGTAAGGGTGCTGGCGTAATTAAAGGCACATGAGACTTGTCAACTTATGTCTCAGGGCGACGGGGGCAGTGGCAGTGTCCCTCAGATTTAAAGCTCTGAGTGGCATTGCAACTGTTATGGACAGGCGTATTAGTTACCATCAGGTGCACGAGTTGTTCACGTCGCTTTAATGTACCAAATCTATGTTCAGACCACGTTTAGACCCAACTTTGTAGATGGCGTTAATAATAATCAAAGAGATATATTTAAGTATGTAGTGAAAGTTCCATCTAATCGAGATTGCCTTGCTTAATATTTTATAGACAAGTATGAATTGTATTAAAACGTTGTGGCTTTGTTCATGACACATAGTTAAACTTACACATAAATTTCAATAATCTTTTTTCATCGATTTTGATTAAAATACACTTTTTTAGTTAGTACACTACTGTATTAACAGTGCGATATAATGTAGTATGCACTTGACATATATGTCGCGACAAAGAAACATTTCTCAATTAAACAAAAATAAAAATGGACAAAAAGATTAAAGCTGTGTAATGTCTCACCTTTTAAAGCACTGCAAAAAGATCTCAGTCCAGGCAATAGCTGATTCTTGACAATAGGGAATCGCGTCTCGTCCTCTTCACCGTCGCTGCTCGGGTGCGCCAGGGCACTCATATACACGTGCTCCATGACTCGTTCTATCGCCGTCACGAGACCAACTTTCTCAGCGTTCAAAACTCCGCAAAATCTAAAACACAAACGTTACGTTGCTAATTCTGAAGTATGTACAGGGTCAAGAACACGTAAAACTTGACATTAAAGATTTAAATTCAACTCCATGCAGCTTACGACAAGAACGGTCCAAAGTTCAAAGCCTGTTGTGCTGTTGACTGTACTTTGTTTCATGGCAGTTTAAATAATTATGAAGTAATGGAGTTTTAGGATTTGTAAGAAAAAGTTTAAAGAATTTGTCAAGCAAAGCAGTGCGACGCAACATATCACATGCTGTCACTATTTTCTTAAACGATGAGAATATAAAACGTAAACTCAGAGTCATCACTTACAAATCTTTGTGGAATCCTTCCTCAGGCAATTGTTTGCTGACATTTATTCTGAACATGTAGATACATATCCCAGTGAACCTCACATCCCAGCCATCTGATAGGAAAAGTTTCTTCTTGAGAGTAACTTGAGGCGGCGGCTGTTTACCCTGCCCTTGTTGTCTTGGCTTGGTGCCTTCGACGGGAGGTCGTTGTTCAACCTCTTCCACGTCTTGGTAGTACCAAAGGAGCTTGTTCCTCATGTGTGGTAGAAACAGCTGATTGATATCGTCGAGCTATTTTGTACATATGTATAATAATAAATAATCTTTTAGTAAAATGAGGTTTACAAGGATATAGAGAGTATAAAGAAATAAAATAGTGTATGTATACAGTACTTGAAAATTGGACAATGTGGCCTTCTAGCGCGAGGCGGCTTAATTAATATTAGAATTCTCACCATGTTTCCCTCGAAAACGTGATCCATGATAGCGTGTCTTGGGAGGCCGGTACCATCGATGAGCAGCTGGAAGGTGAACTCCAGCCGGGGGTCCATCTCCCCCCGCCTTGCCTTGCGCTCGCATTCTTCCCGTCGTTTCTGTTAACAACAGGATCTTTTGAATGACGTCTCACGTTTTAATGCACTGATTACTTAGACCGCTTAGTCGATAATGGATGGATAATATAGATTACCACATACATTTAGCTGGGCGAATTGAAAATTTGTAAATTTATACACATTGTAAGAAACATGACAATTTCAAATAAAATAAACTCTCGACCTGAAGTATATCCATAACATCTTCCTCCTCCTCCTCCTCACTGGACCCTGCTTTCATTGCACACACAAACATTATGCGAACCTTGGTCAACTATCTACCGATGAAAAACACAAAGAATTGCTGCGGATGTGCGAAATTAAATATCACTGTCCTGGTACGTCGCCAGTAGGCGACAATCTGTCGTGCTACTTCGACAGTGATTTCCACTGCAAATGTTCCAGTGTTAGCAGCCAAAATACCATTGAAAGCCGTTTATGTTTCACAATGCCACTGAACATGCCAGGGTAGAGAAGCCGTGTACCGAACTTTTGCAGTTTGCATGCTTTCCATGTACTTTATTTCTTTTAAAGGTATACGACATTTCTTTGTAAGTTTTTGCAATTTCAAACTCTAGTTTTCTTTTTGACTCCAAATTCTTTTACGTTATGCGTATGCTCTCGGTTTGATATTGGCATTACATAATAATAATATTCGTTAATTTGTTTAACATGTTTAGAAAATTATGATTGTGAGTATGGACAAATTCTCCAGATAGATACTAATGCAATTAGTTTTCATCACTATATTTTTCTGTCCATTAAACACGTTTTTCAACAACTTTTTTAATTGCATTTTTTCAATATATTTTCCGTTCATTAATTTAACAAAGCTTTGCGCTGTGCAGGTACGAACAGATACCGTGGAACTATCGCGCGACAGAACAACAATGGTGAACCCATAGTTATAATATGCAAATTAAACGGACAAGCAGGGGGTGTGATTATAAAACGGGGCACCCTACATAGGGTATTCAGCCCCCTAAAAAGCGGGTGGTACAACGTCGCACTTGGCGCTGCTAACGCCGTCACGCAAAGTCCTGTTATAACTGACAGTTATCAAACAACCTTGAAGTACAGACCTAACTTTACGCGACTTCAAAAATGTTTGTATACCTATTACTGTTAACGTCGCCAGTTAAATAAAAACTAACTCGATTTGGTAATAGAAACAGCGTACAAAAAAGAGAATCGAAGGCCCAGCATTCGCGACGTCCAAAGAGGCGCAAACAACTATTACTTGCTAATAACTCCACGCAAGAAAGAAAATAGTAATGTCGTCTGTGCATAACTCCATAACTCCGAATGTGTCAATTTTAATGATTTTTTAAATAATCTTCAGAGATCATTATTAGGGACGGCATAACCTTGTAGGTAAAAAATCAAACAGCGTATTTCAGGCAGATTTTTTCGTCAATTATGGCCCTCTTTTACCGGTTTCAAATAAGGAGATCCTCAAATTTTTTTGTGTTTATTTATTTTACGCGATTATTTCGAGTTGAGAACCGACGTCAATGATTCATTTTTGTTGGAAAGAAGGTACCTCATTAGTAGTCCTATTTTATATTGAGGACAATATTCTACCGGTTTTAATTTTTTTTATGACACTAATGATGAGACGAACACGCCTGTCCACAACAGTTGCAGTGTCACTCAGAGCTTTAAATCACAAAGATTTGAGGTGAACTGCTACTTCGCCCGTCACACTGAGGCATAAGTTGATAAGTCCCATGTGCCTGTAATTTCACCAGCACCCTTAACCCTTCAAAACCGGAACGCAGTAATGCTCATATTACTGCTTGACGGCAGAAGGTAAGGTGGCAATACTTCCCTGGACGAATTCTTTCACAAGGAGCTCTAATGCTATTAAAGGTTGACTCTCAAGGTTGGCAAATTAAGGGATGAATCCATACCGGAATTTCACTCAATTACCGTCAACCGTTAAACTTGGGATATAAATGTAATTAAATAGAATGTTATTGTAACCTAGATCTGACCTGATGATGGAAATAGCAAGACAGGTGAGAAGATACCTTGTAATTAAATTTTTATTGATTTGATATTCAATTATTTTTTGTGAAATTACTCCACTAGTTTGTTATAATTATTAATACAAAGATCGAACACTCAGAAAAAACACTCAGAAAAAATTCCTTCGAGCCGGTTGGATTCGAACCGACGTCTTCTTGCATACCGTGTCAGACGCTATACCAACTAAGTCACGGAACGAACCAACGGACCTCACGAATTTTTCTATGTGGTGATAAATCTGTCATTGACGTTACGACTAAAAAGTCGTTGAAAGACCAAGTACAAAGACACGACTCAAGCACATAGAAAAATTCGTGAGGTCCGTTGGTTCGTTCCGTGGCTTAGTTGGTATAGCGTCTGCCACGGTATGCAAGAAGACGTCGGTTCGAATCCGACCGGGTCGAAGGAATTTTTTCTGAGTGTTTTTTCTGAGTGTTCGATCTTTGTATTAATAATTATAAGATACCTTGTGTTTGGGCTCATATGATTGGTTTTGCCGAGTGCTTCCATTATCGTCGAGGAGACCGTGATAACGAACACAACTAAAGCAAAGCAGATAAGCTAACTTTAGAGATCGTTTTTTTTTTTTTTCATAAAACTACAAGCCTTTAATGAGATTGCTAAATCGCTCAGAGAAAGTCTTGAACGCTAAAATCTACAATATTACTATTCCCATACACAATTTATTCTAATAAATTTTAGTGTGTTATTTTCCTTTTTGCTTTATCTTTCTTTATTCTTTGTACTTTCCTTTTTCTTTTTACTTTCAACTGCCTCCGTGGCCGAACGGTTACCATGCCGGACTGCCACACAGGGGCCTCAGGTCCGATACCCGGGCCGGGAGAAATATTTGTATGGCCTACATTTATTTCTCTCGTGAGTTTGGATGTAATTTGGTGTTGCATGTGTGTGTGCCACGGCACCCGCAACACAGGGTTTCCCTAGTACGGGGCTGTGTTAAGTGTGTGCGTTATTATTATTTCTCATAAAAATATTAAGTTTAGCTTGTCATTCGCGATTAACGATTTATTGCGTTCAATATAATTTCCTTCACAATACGAAATTTTAAAACGGAGCGAACTCATTCCAGACATCTCATCATCATATATTACAAAAATAAAAACAAAATATTGCATATAAACAATTTCCAAATTGCTACTTACTGTGAATTATGAACAAACTGCAAAACATGTAGTAGAATTTTAGTTCCACTTATTGACATGTACCCCCTTGGTAATAACTTTTTTTTCTATTCAATTCTACTTCCTCAACATCTACCTATATTAAGGTAAATGTCAATGTCCTAGTGGTTAACGCTTGTAGAAAAATCGAATTTTGCCAATAAACTACTTAATTATCAGTCATACTTACTACACAACAATGTAAACTGTTAACAGTTTGCCATTTTTTTCTAGAAACTATATTAATTTAATAATTTTAATTAATTATGCCATTATTAAAATATTCCAGTTTTCCGCAACCTCTAAAATTATACCAGTGTATGACAGACAAAATCTCTTATGTCCCAATAGTTGACTAAGGCAAACTAAGATCAGAGTATTTGACTGGATTGCTAACTTTATAACTATAAATTAACTCAAAAATTGGTACATTTACCTTAATTTCTATAAATTACATTGGAAGTAACAAGATTGTGACTGAAAGTATCTAGGTTAGAACTACGCCACTCTTGGCCAGTGGGGTCCCGTTGCCCGTAATCTTTACAAAATATTATCAAAAAGATTAATAGACTACCTGAGAAACTCAAGGAGCGGCTACCTTGCCCAATTTATCAACATAGCTATACAAAGGGGCAAACTCTGCCAGAATCTTGGGTACCTTTCCTCAGGGACCCAATTTTATTCATAGTTGTATAATTTAATCCTACGTACTAATTTAATACTACGTATTTTTATACCATACGTCTAAATACGTTAGCATAAAAATATAATCCTCACTTGCGTAACCTATATGTACATATAATATATACTTAATAGCAAAAGATGGATTTGTACGAGGATTTATATCGTTTCATGTAACTTAAAGGATTTTCTTATAGGTCGTTTTTAATTCAATGTTGAAACCATATACAGTGGAAAATAATCAAAATTAAATTTTACATCTATATCCATTAAATAAAAGTTCGTGTAAAGAAACTTTTAAAATTGTTACTTATATAGAATTATATCAAAAAATTTATTAATTATTTAATAACGTGTAATAATAATGACGCACACACTCATAGCTCCATGTTAGGGAAACCATTTATCGTGGCACCCATGTACATACACATAGACAACCACAAATTACACCCAAAGTCACGAGAGAAATAAACGTAGGCCATGCCGGGACGTACCAGCATGGTAACCGTTCTGCCACGAAGGCAGTTTATTATTATTAATACACTTACTACTTTGTACGTGTGGCGCACTATAAGTTTCGGGAATGAATAAGAAAAAAGTACTATAAATGGTCAGAAATGAATTTATTGTTTCTCAAAATATTCTCCGTTACCGTTAAAGCACTTTTTCATGCGATTGAACTAATTTTGAAAACATTTATGTCACTCCTCCTTGACAATCTCTGAAACATATTTTTCATACTCTTCGACAGGCCTCTTCAGGGGATGAAAATGAAGATGCATGGTGCTTCGTCGCCAAAAGCAGTTCGAAGCCGAGCGAAGCTCCGCTGAGCTGTTAAATTACACTTAAAGTCGTAGAAAATCATACTATGTAACTTTTCACGAGTTAAATGCATGGTGATGTAGACAACCAATTTCTAAAATGACGCCACAATATAAAAACAAGTGACAGTCAGATGAAACAAACTGTATTCTACCGCCAAAGAGTTCCATTTTCAAATGTTGTAATTACTCATTAAATATTGTTTATGTGAGTGGCCAGTTCCGGAAACTTATAGTGCGCCCTATGTAACATTAATTTTGTCTCATTGCAATGTGGCTGTTTTTCATTTAGCTGTACACTATATCGAACTCTTCCCATAAATTACTTATTATGTAAAAAAACTAGACATACGGTGAAAGTTCGATTGTGAAAACTGAGTTTGGACTTACCAACAAAAATGTTAGATACATCAGTATAATGTCATTAGCAGAAAACAGAATAAGCAAAGCATATTTACCTAAATCTTAAGGAGGTGACTCACATTGAGTGGACAATACCTCCCCCTGAGACCCCGGTATTTTCTGTTGTACTTTGTGTTTTT